AGAATTGAGAAAGAAAAGGCAGAAAAAGAAAGACTAGCCAAAGAAAAGGCGGAAAAGGAAAGATTGGCCAAAGAAAAGGCGGAAAAGGAAAGAATTGAGAAAGAAAAGGCGGAAAAGGAAAGACTAGCCAAAGAAAAGGCGGAAAAGGAAAGAATTGAGAAAGAAAAGGCGGAAAAGGAAAGACTAGCCAAAGAAAAGGCGGAAAAGGAAAGATTGGCCAAAGAAAAGGCGGAAAAGGAAAGACTAGCCAAAGAAAAGGTGGAAAAGGAAAGAATTGAGAAAGAAAAGGCAGAAAAAGAAAGACTAGCCAAAGAAAAGGCGGAAAAGGAAAGATTGGCCAAAGAAAAGGCGGAAAAGGAAAGAATTGAGAAAGAAAAGGCAGAAAAAGAAAGACTAGCCAAAGAAAAGGCGGAAAAGGAAAGATTGGCCAAAGAAAAGGCGGAAAAGGAAAGAATTGAGAAAGAAAAGGCAGAAAAAGAAAGAATTGAGAAAGAAAAGAAAGTAAAAGAAAGATTGGCTAAAGAAAAGGCAGAGAAAGAAAGAATTGAGAAAGAAAAGGCGGAAAAGGAAAAAATTGAGAAAGAAAAGGCAGAAAAAGAAAAGGCAGAAAAAGAAAGACTAGCTAAAGAAAAGGCAGAAAAAGAAAGAATTGAGAAAGAAAAGGCAGAAAAAGAAAGAATTGAGAAAGAAAAGGCGGAAAAGGAAAGACTAGCCAAAGAAAAGGCGGAAAAGGAAAAAATTGAGAAAGAAAAGGCAGAAAAGGAGAGAATTGAGAAAGAAAAGAAAGTAAAAGAAAGATTGGCCAAAGAAAAACTTGAGAAAGAAAAGGCAGAAAAAGAAACAATTGAGAAAGAAAAGCCAGAAAAGGAAAGACTTGAAAAAGAAAAGCCAGAAAGGGGAAGAAAGGAGAAAGTAGATAAAGAAAGAGAGAAGGCACCAAAGGAGAAAACAGAGAAAGAAGTAAAGGAGAAGAAAATGAAGGAAAGAGAAGACGTGAACAATAACAAACGAGAAACGGTGGCCAAGTTAAATACAAAAGCACATGGACAGAAAGTTGATGAATCCGAAAAGGAAAAAGAATCTGTGGATGAACAGAACACCAAAGAGGAGAAAATATCCACCCGTGGTTTACTTAAATCTTCAAACAAAAAAATCAAGAAATAAACAATAGTGGACGGCCATAACTGAGCTTTAATTTAATTCAATAAAGATAAAAACTCCTAGTGTAATGAGCCGGAACTGTTGGGAAGTGAACGACTCTAAAGCAAGACGGTGTAGAAATGAAACTCTACAGCGCTAAAGCTGAGAGGAAGAAGTCGTAACCCAAGTGTCGAGTCTGATTCGTCTCAGCCAATCCGCTCGCTCCGATTAAACGTGAAGTCTCCGATCCAAGAGCTTCAGTCCTACATTTAGTCTGTTACATAAATATGTGTTTAATAGATTTAATTTGTGAATATTTATGGTTTCCGTTTATTATTTTGTGTCAGATAAAAACTGCACTAGTTGCAAAATTAAATATCAACTGTAAGGTTATATATTTAAAAAGATTATGCTCTTCGCTTAAATCCAGTTAGATACTTTTTATTTGCTAACTACTTTTATTTTGACAGTACACGGATTAGGTCTCTTACTCGTGACTGTGTTTGGGGATCGAATCACAATCATGACTGGCTTCCTCAACCGGCGGTCCGTGTTTCCCCTGTTGTACGGTAGGGGGCGCTGTTACACATCTTCTGGAAGAGGACTGAATCGCCAGATCCAAAAACAAGCGAAGAAGCAGAAACAAGCGATAGATGCACATGTCAATTAAAACGTGGGATCATCCAGCATTCAACAGCGTTTAAATCAGCATTACAGAACGAAGTGTCGAACTCATGAAGGGTTAACGACTGTGAGGAGTTGATGGACTCGTTCGAATCCCATCCCAACTTTATTTATTTTATTTTTTTGTTGCTTTTTTATGACATTTACCTAGTGTTGATTAAAAAGAATGCATAATCGAAATGTCAGTGCTGGCTGGCAACTTTTTTTAAAAACGCCAGCAGGTAAAGTGTTGATAATTTTCATAATATATTGTGTTTGTTACAAAAAATCACTTTCCCAGACTGAGATGGTTGTTTATGGGCATAGAAAGCTCAAATCTGTGAAGTGACTTGAAATCCTACGAAGCTCCTGGAAGGACATTGTGGATTTTAGATGTAGAGTTTAGATAAAATTTAGATAAAAATATGTTTTTAAACTTTTACGTTGCCTTGAAACTTGCTGTTCGCTTGAAAATCTTTTGCGTTCGCATGCAAATCTTTTGCGTTCCCTTGAAAAACTATATGTTTGCTTATACATCTTTTGCGTTGCCTTGAAAAACTTTGCGTTCGCTTGTAAATCTTTTGCGTTCGATCTTTTGCGTTCGCTTGCTAATCTTTTGCGTTCCCTTGAAAAACGATATGTTCGTTTATACATCTTTTGCGTTCACTTGAAGATATTTTGTGTTCGCTTGTAGATCTTTTGCGTTCGCTTTCAAATTTTTTGCGTTCCCTTAAAAAACAATATGTTCGTTTATTCATCTTTTGCGTTCCCTTGAAAAACCTTGCATTCGCTTGCAAAGCTTTTGTTCGCTTGCAAATCTTTTGTGTTCATTTGCAAATATTTTGCGTTCCCTTGAAAAATGATGTTCGTTTATACATCTTTTGCGTTTACTTGAAAATCTTTTGCGTTCGCTTGTAGATCTTTTGTGTTCGCTTGCAAATTGTTTGCCTTCCCTTGGAAAACGATATGCTCGTTTATATATGTTTTGCGTTGCCTTGAAAAACTTTGCGTTTGCTTGCAAATATTTTGTGTTCACTTACAAATCTTTTGCGTTTGCTTGCAAATATTTTGCGTTTGCTTGCAAATATTTTGCGTTCGCTTACAAATCTTTCGCGTTCACTTGCAAATCTTTCGCGTTCACTTGCAAATCTTTCGCGTTCACTTGCAAATATTTAGTTCGCTTGCAAATTTTTTGCGTTCGCTTGCAAATCTTTTGCGTTCGCTTGCAAATCTTTTGTGTTCGCTTGCAAATTTTTTGCGTTCCCTTGAAAAATTATGTTCGTTTATACATCTTTTGCGTTCCCTTGAAAAACGTTGCGTTCACTTGAAAATCGTTTGCGTTTCTTGAAAAAATGTTGCGTTTCCTCGCAAAACGTTTGTGTTTTCCCTTATAAACTTTGTTCACTCACAAAAGTTTTGCGTTCCTTTGAGAATTTTGGCGTTTGCTTTGAAAAAAAATGCAGGCAAAAATGAAGCTTTTTAGCGTAAGTAAAACATTTCACGAGAGAACTCAAAAACAGTGACAACATTTTTGCTCCCATCATATTTCTTCCATCACGGGTCCCTTTAGTGGCTCTGTAAGATCTTGTAATAGGAGTTTTGAAATTGCATTTGAATCTAAAAGATCATATTTCAGTACGTTTTTCCGTCATTTGAGTTAATGTTCACTCTTTTCTCATGAATGCAATTTTTGTATATAAGTATGAATTGTGTGACTTCCCTGTGTGCGATTAGTGGGCGGTTTTAACCTGCATGTCCAATAATGTGTAAAACACGCGTGTTATTTCATGTGCCTTAAGTCCAGAACCACGACGAGATGCGATAACTCAATTTATTATTCATCTCTTCACACTGACAGCTGCTCTCAGTCGTTGTTGAAGAGTTCCTTTCACAGTGACCGTCTGTCCTAAAGTCTTTAATTTGTTAGGCTAGTTCTGCTTGTGTGCGGTATGAACTCAGTCTGTAATGTGAAACGCATCAGTTCTGCTGTTTCTGAGCGAGGGAACGCGTGTAAAGTCACATCCAGGATCAAGCGTTTAACATTTGCTTTCATTCATTCAGTGGCGAGTGTATTTATAACCTGCTTTCTTTCAATCAAATTTGCAGATCAGAATTTGTCTGCAAAATTTTTTACTTATAGTTGTTTTATTTATATGTTTACGGGTTTTGTCACCCAGAATAGTAAGATATTGATCCTATCATCAGTAGTTCTTTGGTGAATAAACATTTATTGTTGTGTGAAACTTTAACTGTGTTAATCATATAATGCCAATCAGGTGTTTAGGTGTTAAATTTGACGTGTGTAATTTCTTCACCACTTGATATATTCTATGATATGATGTATGATATATCACACCAGATATGTTTCATTTCTGACTGCTTCAACACACAGCAATGCTTCGCAACATTTGAGAGAGATCAACATGTGAATGACTGAATTATAGTGCATATTTATGTGGGATATGAGAAAGTAATTCTCATCATTTTTATGTGTTTATTAAGTGTTTGATGAAACTAAGCTGTGGTTAAATATTCTGAGAATGTATCAAGGTATCCGCCTCCAATAAATGTGAATTTTTCTCTTATTTTAAATTTAGTCGATCTGTTTGAAACACAGTCGTGTGTGTGTGTTCGCGTGTGTTCTTCTCACAGTTCTTTTTTATTCTCTTCCACACAAGATGAATAGTAAAAAAAAATGCATTTTATGTAAAAAAAGGGATTCATATTTACATATTTAATGACAATTTATGTAACGTATGTAATTTATATTTAACAATTTATTAGACGTTTTTAAATGATTTTAAGGCAAATGCCTTCAAATATCTTGACTGTAACTTGACACCCTTGCCTCATTTAGTACCACATAGAGATAGACATACAAACAATATTAACTCACATTCATCACAATATTAAAATATGGATTTTTAAAAGTTTTAAATACATCTAATGTGAGTTTGAATGTCAAAATGCATGACCTTTACTGCCGTACTGAGTGATTATGGATAATTCATACATTTAAGAAAACAGGAACATTCAAACTGTGAACAAACAATGAATTCCATGACAAAGAGGGTTTTAGTCATAGATTTTTGAGACTCCACCCACACGCTCTTCTGATTGGCTGTGATCTTTGATTGATCGGTTCGCATCACGTTCAGTGTTTGTATTGTGTCTGATTTTACTCCACATCCACACAGGTCTGACCGAGAAGCCGGGTCCGCTGGCATCAAGCAGGAACGCCTTAGAAGAACAAGGTAAGGAAAACGGGGACCAGGGTATATTCTCACACAAAGTATATATACGAGGTCTCAACGTGTCCTGTGTTCAGGTGCCATTCAAACAGGACACGAGCAAACCCTAAAAAATAGCATAATACACTGTAACATATAAAACATAACTCCCCGTGCGTCAGAAAGGAAAGAAACCAAGTCTCCTCAGAAGGATTTATAAACTTTTGAATGGTTTTGACTTTGCTCTCACAAAATATACGTATTTTAGCCATTATCGGCCAGATCCAGTTAATTAAAGTAAGTTGAGCTGATTCACGATGAATTCCCTTATATCTTTGCAACGTTTTTTTTGTGCTGTGATGCTTTCGAGTTGCTTGAAATATGATTGGAATCACTTTAAAAAATGGAAAATACAGTAAAGTGCAGCAAGTCTGTCATATCTGCTATATAAAATTATATTGAGAACATTATTATGATCGTGTGTTTTAATGGTGAGACTTTTGTTTTTGTAATCGGCTCTCAAGAAAGATTTATTGGCCAATATATCGGTTATTGGCTTTCAAATATAAAGAATTATCTGTATTGTCCAATTTTTTTTTTTTTATATCGATGCATCCCTACTGTAAACTTAAGGACCATCTACCCCAGGGATGTATTTATGGCCAGTTGAAACTGCTCTTGTCCTCAAATCTGTTTGCTGTTTTAATTTAAAGTACAAATGTTGTTTTTGCGTTTCAGAGTTAAATGCAGAATTTCTGCCTGGTGAAAACAAAGGTAAGAGAAATATTTACATTACTCATGTATTATTTATGTATTTATTTTTATATACTAAATGTGTGTGCTGTAAAGACTCTCCACATAAGTCTACACCTAATGCGGATCCTTCACTAGAATTGAGCGGGTCCTTAACTCCTGAGTCTCCGACTGAGGCGGCAGGATTAGCAGAACCGGCGCCGGAGTCCAGCGCGGGAAAAGAAGGTCTGTTGATCTGGGTTTAATGATGTTAAAGGTAGTAGTGATGCTCTCAAATGATAACTCTGGGCTGAAAACAAACTTTTTAAATAAGTTTTAAATTCGTTTTTGTATAATTGCATTAATATTAAACTTTTTAAAAACTTTAATTATCAGTTAATTAGTCAAATTGATTTAAATTGACAAAATTAAAATGCACATAATGCAGTTTTATGTCTTTTCTTATAATAGAAATGTTTGCACTCCTATTTGTTAATGCAATAAAAACGTTTAAACAAAAGCTGTAATAATTCATTTTCAAGACGAATTTGATGCTCATTGTGAAAAATGACACGCTACATTTTATAAAGTTTTCAATCAACCCTAATGCTGTGGTGATTATTTTACAGCCATAAAGAAGAAACCAAAACTTCTTAACAAATTTGACAAAACGATCAAATCCGAGATCAACGCTGCAGAGAAATTACGCAAGAAGGTAACCGCGTATACTACACTGGCAGAACAAATGTGTTTTGTTAAATTTGTTGACCGTATAATAGACGTCTTTCTCTTTTTCAGGGCAAAGTTGAGGAATCTCTCCGAGCTTTTGAAGCTCTTGTCCAGAAATACCCTCATAGTCCGAGGTCCCGATACGGCAAAGCCCAGGTAACGCATTAGCTAACATCCAACTAACATCCAAAGTTGTGAATTTAACTTGTAATATCGCATAAAACATTTGCGCATAAATCAGCGTTTCCATTCCACGTGTTCAAGAGAACAAAATCGGCATAAATTGGTGCAAAATATCAGTAATAAATGTGTAAGCTGTTGCAATCGTTCTCTTTTCGCTCCATCATAAACGAGTGTGTGTCGCGTCAGACGAAACGTAGTAAACGCCGTCGTGCTCGCGTTCGGGAACACACTCGTGTGTGTGAGACGCTTCTGGAGGGAATTACACCCAATTATTCGGATCGCACACTTCGACGCCGGCGTTTCAGAAACCCTAACCGACATTTGAGACGCTGCGACGCCATTGGTCCGCTGGTTACTCCAGCTATTCAATCACAACCGACGCTGAGGAAAAGCCACATGAGTTTATAGAGAGCCTAAGTCCCTCCCCTTCCGGTCGACCACGATGGGACCTTATTTCGGAAAAATATTGAATGGTAGTCAATGGCGTGAGACAACAAATATTTTTTTGATCTTGTTTGAATTACACATATGATGTTTGTCAATTTAAAAGATACATTTTAAAGTAAAGAAAGTCGCAGTTTGATGTAAAACCGTTAAGGTATAAGACTGAAAATACGTAATTACAAAGACTACAAACCCCAAAGGCGGACATTTTCTCCCAATGAATGAAGCTAACTTTACTGAGGCTATTGTCTGTCATTTTTTCTATAGTCTTACGTTATAATCGTAACGTTACGAGTGTTTTGTACCAGACTGCACACACACGAGCAGCGGATCTCACTCGTTGTTTCGCTTCCTGGGAGATGTAGTGCACAGAGCGATTTTCACATAAAACTAAACGTTACTCTTCTGTTTTATGACGAACTTTTATGGCGACGTTTTTGACTTTCAGAATTATGTTTTAAATTGACAAACATCATATGTGTAATTGAGGTCACAGTTCAGACGGAATAAAGAGATAAGTTGTCTCTCGCCATTGACTACCATTCATATTTTTTCCGAAATAAGGTCCCATGAGCCGGAAGTGGAGGGGCGGGACTTAGGCTCTCTATTGAGGGATTTATTCAATAAATGTGTTTCCATTGTAGTTAATGCGCATGTCGTGTCATCGGATACAAAATGTATCCGCCTCAATTGATTTTTATGCAAATTTTTATAATTTATGCACATTGATGGTGTTTCCATCGATGCGATATTCCAAAATGTGCATGTGAATAGGAGGATTGAAACATGGCTATTCCAGCTTAGAGCCCGACCGATAAAGGATTTTGAAGGCCGATACCGATACAAATATTTTTGGGTTTTAAAATCCGATATATCGGCCGATATTTTATTTATTTATTTTTTAAACTGGACATGATAGTCACAAATTTTGTCCTGCTTATTTGAGTTGAGAGAACTCAAATGTTCTTTTAATTGTTATTCAAGCGACGTATGTATCGTGACCAACTCAACGAGTGTTGCCGACAGAGACGGTGTAGAGCGCCCTCTGGTGGACAAACTATACAACTCCAACACTCATGACATGGTTCAAGCGTGTTTTATTTTATTTTCGAAATATTCATTTATCGGCCATTATAACTGCCCATACCGATAGTTTGGAAAATGCCTAATATCGGCCGATAATATCGGTCTGGCTCTGTGGTTCGGTAGAAAGCAGTTCCAGGAGTGTGTGTTTGTGATGTGTGTGTGCAGGCCGAGGATGACACCGCAGAGAAGAAGCGCAGTAACGAGCTGCTCCTGACGGCTGTGAACACGTACAGAGAAGCGGCGGATCTCCCAGACGCTCCTCCTGATCTGGTCAAAGCGTCGCTGAAGAGACGAGCCGACCGACAGCAGTTCTTAGGTACTCTACTTTCACCAACCAGTTATCTCGACGTGAGCAAGCGGGGTCATTTGATAATGATAATGCGAATCCTGTTGTGTTCCTGTGCAGGTCGTACAAGAGGATCTTTAGCGACTTTGGAGAAGCTAGTTCAGATCTTCCCAGAAGACATCAGCTTAAAGAACGACTTGGGCGTGGCACATCTGCTCCTGGGGGACAACAAGAGTGCCAAGCGCATATACGAGGAGGTCAGAGGTCACTGTGGCGCGGTCAGCTTTAGCGATGTGATCAGTGCTTTACTAACTTCCTCCTTTCTGAAACTCCTCGTCAGGTTTTGGCTGCCGCTCCACATGACGGGTTCGCCAAAGTGCATTATGGGTTCATCCTGAAATCTGAAAACAAGATTGCAGAGAGCATACCGTACTTGAGGGTAATCCTGACGTCATGCACAGATATACGCAAACATATCGTCGCTGTCTCTATCCTCGCATCTCCCAAAACGCTACTTTCTAGATAATTAAACGGTGTGGGCTGAGTAACTTGCATGTGTCGTTATATTATTAACTCTTTTAGTTTATTCTTAGCTAAAAACACTTAGTTCTTTCAAAAATATATGTGCTCATTAATGTATATTTACTTCGTATTATCGTGAGTGTATAATATGCCATTGAAAATACATAAGGGTAAGGGATTCGCCATGTTGCCCCTCCATCTTGAAAGTACATTAGCCAAAGAGGGACATACCCGTTAATTCAAGCTTCGCCTTTCGCGTTTACACTCATGAATGAGGTCGAACTGGAAGCCATGTTAATCTTGGACTAAAATCTTGGAGTTAACACGAAATCGGAATTGAGAGGAACAGAAACTAATATTCACTTGATGGTCATATACCTTTTCACCACTAGATGGGGGTAAAAATCACACAGTGTAGCTTTAACATTTGACCAACATCAAGTTGTCGGACATGCATGTCATCAAATACTGTAAAGATTAAATAAAACTCTGTTCTCACTCAAACACCAGTTCTTTATTTACATTGCTCTGCAAACAAGCAGAAACAATGCACAGATGTGGGCGGAGTCATGAAGTTTGACTGACAGTGTGAGGAGCCAATGGAGTTACGAGATGCTCTTTTTAAGACTTTTCATTGGTTAGAGATTAGCAAAACCCACAGACGGATGTACGCGGTGGTCAATAGGAAAGATTTATGAAAAAATAAATAAAATCGGCGAAATTTGGAGATTTGAGGTTTTTGTCTGACAGCGATGATTTATACAAACATACTTCACCAATTGTGAATGTGTGTGTGTGTGTTTAGGAGGGTTTAGAGTCCGGAGAGCCAGGAACTGATGACGGGAGGTTTTACTTTCATCTCGGAGACGCTCTACAGAGAACCGGAGACGAGAGTGTAAGATGAAAGCGAACTTATTGGGAGTGAGTTTGATCCTCCAGGCGTTGTGTCTGATGTGTGTGTGTGTGTTTAGGCGTATGAGTGGTACGAGACGGGGCACCGGCGGGGTCACTTCGCCTCAGTGTGGCAGAGGTCGCTCTATAACGTCCCGGGACTCAGAGCGCAGCCCTGGTGGACGCCGGAAGACACCGGATACACGGATCTCGTCAAGGTCACCACAAACTAAATCACCTTCTCTCGAAGATTAAGAGATCGTCATTAAAAATATTGTGAATTTAAACGCATTTACGAGGTTATGATGATGTGGAAGTTAGAGAGAGACTAATTAAAATACGTTTATATACATAAATGCAAGCTTTTAAAATGACTCCGCTTGCCTGTATGTTTATATTTATTGAAATGCCAAGAGTGCATGATAAAAAATGCATGATATTGTGCATATGTACGGAGGTGTATTGCGTTCACTTGAAGAAAAAAAATCTACTCTGTTTTTCTGAATTAATTAGTTAATTTTTCATGGATTTTTTTTTTTTGCTCTGTTTTTCTGAATTAACGAGTTAATTTTTCATGAGAAAAATTTTTTTTGCTCTGTTTTTCTGAATTAACAAGTTAATTTTTCATGAGAAAAAAAGTTGTTGCTCTGTTTTCTGAATTAATGAGTTAATTTTTCGTGAGAAAAAAAATATTTTGCTGTGTTTTTCTGAATTAACGAGTTAATTTTTCATGAAAAAAAATTTTTGCTCTGTTTTTATGAATTAATGAGTTAATTTTTCGCGAGAAAAAACATTTTTGCTCTGTTTTTCTGAATTAATGAGTTAATTTTTCATGGAATTTTTTTTTTTGCTCTGTTTTTTCTGAATTAACGAGTTAAAAAAAATTTTGCTCTGTTTTTCTGAATTAACGAGCAAAATATTTTTTTTTTCTCATGAAAAATTAACTCATTAATTCAGAAAAACACAGCAAAAAAAATTTCCATTAAAAATTAACTCGTTAATTCAGAAAAACAGAGTAGATTTTTTTTCTTCAAGTGAATGTAATACGCCTCCGTACATATGTATATATTATATGAATAAAAAATAATTATAATTCATATGATGTAAATATATTAAATAATTAGCAGCAAAAGCCGAGCAATTTTGTCTCTCAGTTTCTTTCGCTGCTTTAATTGAGCGAGAGAGAAAAGGGGCGTGGCTTTATTGCATCACGTCACTTTGCCCGCAGCTGATTGGTCCAGTTGGGTTTGTGATCTCTTACCCAGAATAAAACCTGCTAAAATCGAATCCTCCATCTTCAGCCCGTAAAGAGTTTTCCACAAACTAATCTCAAAACGTACCTGTGTAGAAACCAAAACCAGGTTCAGGCACCGGGCGTCCTGTAGTTTATCGATTAATTAACTAGTGCTTTCAATTAAAGCTTAATAGTGCTTAAACTGCCTCATTATTTGAGTTTGTCAAAAAGACCTTTATATCCTCACTGGTAAATGTGTATTTTAATGTGTGTGTGTGTGTTTGCAGGTGTTGGAACGAAACTGGCTGACCATTCGAGACGAAGCGCTGTCGGTGTTGGACGGAAACAGCGGACAGTTTCTGCCAGAAGATGAAAATCTGAGAGAGAAAGGAGACTGGGGACAGTTTACACTCTGGCAGCAGGGTAATATATATACATAAACATACTTTATTACTATATAATATGCACCAACAGATACCAGATGTAATTACACTGGATATAAATTCATCCTAGGGGTGGCGATATGACTCAATATGAGTATGATGTATCTAACAATATAGTTATGTTTACTTTAAATTAGGTTTTTATCATATCAAAATATTTGAAACCATATATTTTGAGAAATTGGACAAATTCTGATAAATTTCACGATTCTCGCCACCGATTTCAATATCAGCACAAACTAATAACAAAACTTTCAGGCTTATGTGCAAAGTGATCAAATAAGAACAAAGAAACTAATTACAATGAAAACTACAATAGCGCGAATGAAATTGATACACCTGAAAAAATAAGAAATACTACGTAAATTGTAGAAAATGTACACAAAACACTGCACCATGTACATTAAAATATGTTGATTCGTATTAAAGCTCAGTCGAGAGCAGCGAGTGATTCTTAATAAACAGGTTTATTAGGCTACTGTCACTTTAAGAGCGAATGCACTGATATACACGCGTACTTGCTTTCTCTTCTGTTTACATTCACTTATGATGACATAACCACCTGTGTTTACGTGGATACTCTCAAAGATGGGTATTTTCACTCATAAGTGTGTGTATTCAACCCTTCGAGCCCAATAAGGTGTGTGTGTCGCTCGGAAAGCACACGTTTATACTGAAATAAGCACTTGTTTTTAAACTGCAAGGCTGAAACATGCATTCAAATAATAAGGCATTTATATAAACACATTCAGTTAGCAGGTATTAAAGTGTGTGTGTAACAATTTATGTACGTTTACTCTTATTAATCTATTATTAAGGTTATTAGGCTGCTGTCACTTTAAGAGCGAATGCACTGATCCACACATGCTTGATTTCTCTCCTGTTTACATGATCACCTGTGTTTACAGGAATACTCACTAAGATGGGCATTCTGACACACACATGTGTATTTAACCATTTAAGACATACAGCGTTTCCTCGTTCTCAGGTCGAAAGACTGCTTCGGCATGTCGCAGTGTCCCTAAAACCTGTGCTTTACTGGAACGTTACCCAGAAGCCACTGGCTGCAAAAGAGGCCAGGTAAATCCCCAGAAATCAATTCTTCTTCTTCTTTACAGTGCTCTTTTCTCACAAAGACGACCTGTTGCCTACTAATATAAATCCAAGAAACGTTCTCTTCCTCTTTTAGATCAAGTTTTCAGTGATGCAACCTGGTACTCATGTGTGGCCACACACTGGACCCACCAACTGTCGTCTGCGAATGCATCTCGGCCTCATCATTCCTCCTTCGGGCTGCAGGATCCGCTGTACAAACCAGACCAGGTCAGCTTTACACACTCATTAACACTAATTAAACTCATTTTCACTCATTAACCCTCAGGTGCTCACACTTGTCATCTTCCCGGTCAAAAGTGACCGGACACCTAAAAATTAAATAAATTTCCTCCATCTCAGTAAAACCAATGCAATTTATTTTTGTTCTATAATATTTATTCTTTTTAATTTAGTATTTTGAGACAATTTAATTGAATTTATTAATATTTATGCACTATTTATGGTTTATTTTTGCCATGGAAAAATATATATATTTTTCTATATATATATTATTTTTTTCAAAAAAAATATTAATGCAGTATTTTAGATTAATATAGAGTCTAGGCCTTCAGGAAAAAAATATTTTTTGAAGAAAATTAGCACCATCTGGTTACAGTATAGAGAAAAAGCGTAGCATCATGGTGTGACCACTAGATGGCATGTGCAGCTCTCTATGGAGAGGCATGTGAATTCCCCAGATGTTTATGAACACATTTTTTGTTGTTGGTGGTGGTGGACTTGAATATATAGTTGAAACAATCTCAAAAACTATTTCTTACAAAAAAACAAAAATTCACAATTTTTTTTTTTCATTTTTTTACAATTTCCCATTCATTTCCTATAGGGGTCATTTTTACGGAGGCGTATTGCATTCACTTGAAGAAAAAAAAATCTACTCTGTTTTTCTGAATTAATGAGTTAATTTTTCATTAGAAAAAAATATTTTGCTCTGTTTTTCTGAATTAATGGGTTAATTTTTCATGGATTTTTTTTTTTTTTTTTTTGCTCTGTTTTTCTGAATGAACAAGTTAATTTTTCATGGAATTATTTATTTTTTTGCTCTGTTTTTCTGAATTAAGGAGTTAATTCAGGAAAACAGAACAAAAACTTTTTTTCTCACGAAAAATTAACTCATTAATTCAGAAAAACACAGAAAACAAAAAATTCCATGAAAAATTAACTCGTTAATTCAGAAAAACAGAGTAAAAACTTTTTTTCACATGAAAAATTAACTTATTAATTCAGAAAAACAGAGTAATTTTTTATTTATCATGAAAAATTAACTCATTAATTCAGAAAAACAGAGTAGATTTTTTTCTTCAAGTGAATGCAATACGCCTCCGTACATTTTTGACCGAAGAGCACAAGTGTGACTATTTTATTTACGACCACTTACCATGCTCAGATCATGAACCTCAATTTTTTTTGTGTGTTCACATACATAATGCCATAAAAGTCACGAAGTTTCGTAACACTCCGATGAAGCCGTGATTTTTAAAAATTCAAAACAGAACATTTTTCGGCCAGAAATGACCGACGAGCGCCTGAGGGTTAACACTGCATTCATTACAATACTGGAGTTTTGAAATGTTTCAGCTTTAGTCTATGTTGTACTGAATTAATGTTCGGGATGTGGATCGTGTTTCAGGGAGTGGGAAGAAGGAAAAGTATTAATATTTGACGACTCGTTCGAGCATGAAGTCTGGCAGGAGGCAGATAGATTCAGACTCATCTTCATCGTGGACGTTTGGCACCCCGAGCTCAGCCAATCACAGAGGCAGACTCTCTCACCCATATAGAGGATAACAGCCAATCACAGAGCTCGAAGAGCAGGCCAACAGCCAATCACAGAGGCAGGCTCTCTCACCCATAGAAGACAACAGCCAATCACAGAGCTCAGAATAGGTCAACAGCCAATCAGAGCGCTCTCTGCAGTTTTCATAAACCACTTGTGCATAATATGAGAACATCATCACCTAATATTCAAGATCTTAATTTTGTAAAGCAAATATGGTTTGAAATCATGTTTAACAGTAATATCAGACCGATTTCTAGATGACGTTAGACCGACGGGTTATGGGAGAGTTAAGACATCAGACTATGAGGAAGTTGCATTGAGACTTAAGTCACTTTTAGATATGATTGAGCATTGCACTGTATGTTGCGGGTTATAGTTTGTGTGTGTGTGTGCGTATGAATACATAAAGGATCAGGTGTGTTCATTAAGAGATAGAAACATCATCACTTCGTGCCTTCTTCCAGCCAATGAACGAGTCAAAAGAAGTGAATACGACTGCATTTATTTTTGATTTTTCTGTACATGTTTTCATCAGAGCTCGTGTTTTATTAACACTACAGATTTGTATATGTACATGTTTGTTTACGTGCCAAATGTTGGTTGATTGTGAATTATTAAATTGTGAAACATCTGAAAAAACACAATTCAGTTTGATTGATGTTCTTCACATCACAGTGGGAGAATGTGCAGTTTTAATTAGTAAATTAAATCCATTACCGTAATAATAATGAAGTTAATAGAGATTTGCTAATGAAAGAAGTATGTCTGCTGGAAGGCGGTGTGCGCGCCGGTGTACTCCGGGTTATAGTTGTAGATCAGGGCCTTCTCCTCTTCCTCCTCGCTGGGGAAGCGGTGCGTACTCTTCCTCGCTGTGGAGGAGAGAGAGTTATTCCTCGTGTTCAGTGTTTTACATCCAAAATACTCTTTAACCCTCGAGGAGTTTACTCCACAAACGGCGGATTTCGTCAAATCCAAGATCGCCGCCACCGTACAACGTCATAATATGCAAATTAGATGAGAAAATGTAAGGCCTACATAAACTTTGGGTCATCCTTAATATTTCTCTAATATACAGAAAGTATCTAACGCTTTTAAGATATAGCCTTTTGAAATTAAGATGTCAATTTTGGCGCCTAAAGGGTTAAACTGTATATCTACAGTGTAAAACTCCACAGTTTTCCAGTATATTCGGAAGGATTTTACACTGGGGTTTGTGTTCAAATGCACATTTCCTGATAATATACAACGTTTTATTCCTAAAAATAAGGTGAAAAGTTATTTATTTTTGGCTGTCGACAGTATTTTCTGACTTATATCCAAAATCTCCTCTGTAAAAACTTTGACTTATATATTTATATATATATATTAGGGATGGGAAACGATTAATCGCAATTAATTGCACCCAAAATAAAAGTTTGTGTTTACATAATATGTGTGTGTGGTGTGTATAATTATTTTGTATATATAAATACTAACACATGCATGTATACATTTAAGAAAAATGTGTTCTTAATATATCAAATATTTATATTTATACATAATATTAATTATGTATAAATATATATAAAGTATATACATGCAAATATTTCTTGAATATATACATGCATGTGTGTGTATTTATATACAAAATAATTATACACACCACACACACATATTACGTAAACACAAACTTTTATTTTGGATGCAATTAATTGCGATTAATCATTGGCCATCCCTAATATATATATATATAAGAAATAAGAATATTGAACCTGGCTTAATCCAAGGTTCAGGTTTTTGTTCAAGAAATGTATTGAAATTAGCGCATATTTAATGAGATAATGCCTCATTTGCATATTCAAACGTAACATTTCAGAAAACTTGAAATATAATTTTTTTTTGCAATAGTTAGAGTAATCAATCATGTGGAGATACGGAGTTATTCCTATGCTATATTCATCAGCGGAGTCTCGCGTTAAACGTGTCACGGCAGATCAATATAATAAACGGCTATTAAAACGTAGGATTATGATCATACCTTCGTTGACGAAGAAGAGTGCGATGTGGAAGCCGGTCTCGACGGCTCGGGGCGAGTGGGGAATATACGGGCGATTCCACTCGAACGCGTTCTTCTCTGGATGCCACTGAGTCGCGTAGATGGGGAAATCATATGCTGGAAGCAGAGGAGGGAAGTTATACAAAGAATATATATATATATATATGATTATGGTCACTCACCTTCCAGTGTGGACACAAACTCGTTCTGTCCGTCGGAGTTTGTACTCAAAACCCTGTAGAAGTTCTTCAGTTTCTCGCTCTTCGTGAAGTTCTGAAATAAACATTTAGAAATTTCTCATTTCACTTCATGCAGCGAAAATAAAAATAGTTGAATTGAACATGTATTCATTACGTGAGATATGTCGATTAAACGTCTTTGTTTTGTACGTTGCAGTTTTAACTCTTTCCCGCCATTGACTGAATCTTCCAGCGAGTCATGTTATCACTGTTGTACACTAGAGGGCGCTGGCATCAACAATTAAATCTGGTGCTCTTCAAAAAAATCTTCATCGGAATGATACAAAACTAATGTGATCTCAAAAATAAATCATGGACATGATTCGAAAAGGTTAAAGGGAAATGATGTTTGAGATGGCTTTAAAAACGCAGACACCGAGATCAAGGTAAGAAATTGTGAAACACAAAAGATGCACTAGACGAACAGATTAGATGGATCGCAGTCTACTCCATTTAGCTGGATAACCTTTAATCTTAAAGGTGCAGTGTGTACGTTTGGCAGCATCTAGTGGTGAGGTTGTGAACTGCACCCAACAGAAGTTACGGTGGCTGACAGGAAGTGATGTCGTCCTCTGAGACAGCAGAGAGTAGCCCGTTAAACAACGAGGTTTCTTCACAAAGATAAATTAAGAAATTATGTTTACTTAATTATTCAGTAAAACGATATGTTATTGCGAATATTATTATTACGTGTTCATCATTGCGTCAGAGTTTAATTCGCTGACTTTAGCTAGATCTTTGTAATGTCTTTGTACTGCAGGTTTAACCAGAGCCCGAGCTGAAGGAGGGTCAGTAATGCTAGTTACCGCAGTCGTGAGACTCCACTGATGCGAGTTCACCGTGAGCCGCTCCGTCGCCAGAGATTTCAGAAGCTCCTCGGGAAACTCTCTGAACAGTCGGCCTTCTCGATAATCTACACCAGTGGAGAAAACCAGGACATCAACACTTCAGGAGCTCACAACAAAAATATTCATCACTTCTCTCAGTAGTTTACACTAGCCGGAGCGCGGTAATGAGTAACAAGCGAGTAATCCTGGGATGTTTTAATCAATCAAATCCCACAGCCAATCAGAGCAGTGTGTGGGCGGAGCCTCGCAGCACCAGAGAGTAATCCTGACGGCACTCGCGAAATTCACAAATATTACACGTGTAGCTGGGACACGTGTTCTCCAGTGTTGTTCTTACCGTCAGTGAAGTTCAGTGGCAGAGCGACTCCTCTGGTGTTCGTGTGGGACAGGAGCAACTGGCCACTGGTGAGCAGTGTGAGCATCTCGAACCCTAGACAGGTCCCCCATACTGGGAAATAATCCCCGTTTGAATTGGCCTGTTAACACACGGAGATACAGCAGGGATGCACTGATATCAACATTTTCTTAGCTATATTTTGAAAGCTAAAAACCGATAATTCCTTATATTTGAAAGCCGAAAACCGATATATTGGCTGGTACCGATAATTTTTTATATTTGAAAGCTGATAATCGAGAATTCTAATATTTTGAAAGCCGATAACCGATAATTCTTATATTTTGAAAGCCAATAACCGATATATTGGCCGATAACCAATAATTCTTTATATACGAAAGCCATTTCTGTGATCTTTTAAAAGCGGATAACCGATTTATTGGCCGATACCGATAATTCTTTATAATTGAAAACCGATAATTCTTTATATTTGAAAACCGATAATTCTTATATTTTGAAAGCCGATAACCGATATATTGGCCGATAACCGATAATTCTTTATATTTGAAAGCCAAAAACTGATATATTGGGCAATACGATAATTCTTTATATTCGAAAGCTGATAACCTATAATTCTAATATTTTGAAAGCTGATAACTCTAATATTTTTGAAGTCGATAACCGATATATTGACCGATGCCGATAATTCTTTATATATGAACCTCAATAACGGATAACTGTAATATTTTGAAAGCCGATAACTGATAATTCTAACATTTTGAAGCTGATAACTCAATATTTTCGAAGTCGATAACCGATATATTGGCCGATGCCGATAATTCTTTATATATGAACGCCGATAACCGATAACTCTAATATTTTGAAAGCCGATAACTCTAATATTTTGAAGCTGATAACTCAATATTTTCGAAGCCGATAACCGATATATTGGCCGATAATTCTTTGTATATGAACTCCAATTACGGATAACTCTGATATTTTCAAAGTCGATAACCGATATATTGGCTGATGCCGATAATTCTTTATATGTGAAAGCCGATAACCGATAACTCTGATATTTTGAAAGCTGATAACCGATTTATTAACCGATACCGATAATTCTTTATAATTGAAAACCAATAATTCTTTATATTTGAAAACCGATAATTCTTATATTTTGAAAGCCGATAACCGATAATTCTTATATTTGAAAGCCAATAACCGATATATTGGCCGATAAGTCTAAATCTAGATTTTTTAACCATTTCTGAGAGCCTGATTACAAAAGTTTTATCATTAAAATACATGTCTCAAGCACACAATTATGATGTTCTCATTATAGTTTTACGACAGAATATTAGCCGAACATTTTCCTTTTTTGAAGTGATTCCAATCATATTTCAAGCAACTTAAAACCATCATGTTGAACAGTGCGCATCTGAAGCATCTCAGCTGAAGGAAATAATACATTATCGGCTTTAATAAATCAGCCAATTAAAAAAAAAATATATATAAAATGTATTGCTGATATATCGTGTATCGCTAGATATTATACTACAATGAAAAATTGAAATATGTTTTACAGACAGCAAAACTGACACAAACCTCGAGAGCGAGTCTGTAGAAAATGGAGGCCGTTCTGGAATATCCGGATGACTCTAAACTGACTCCGCCTCCTGGGAACAGAACTCTACAGAGAGAGGCAAAATACTTCATTTTTTATTTATTTGTGATATATTTTAAATTGAATTGAATTGAGAGACAGGGTTTGTATATAGACACTGTAAAAAGAAATTCCAGGACTTTTCAAGGACTTCAATCAAAGATCGCAACTATAAAACAATATCTTTAGGATTTTTTAAACTCAAATTACAGATATGAGGTATCCAAAATACAACGTATTTAATAAAATATATTAAATACAACGTTTATAATGGCTATTATTGTTCAATAAATAACATTTTATATTATAAATGTTGGCGTACTTGGTATCGAAAACACGTCTGATGGAGGTTTATCAGGGTTAATATTCAGATCAAGCACTTTTTGTAAATATGGCGGTTTTCCAGGACTTAAATTTCAAAAACTCAAACTCAAGTACTTTAAGCACAATTCCTTACTGTAATCACGTCTTTAACACACATTTTCTATATTTACTCACCCATTTATGGATTTAAACAGCCGTCTGTACTCATCTTCAGTCCTATTGATCCTGCAGAACATTAAATACACTATATTAGAATGCTTTAACTACAATAAAGTTACCGTTGTGCAGTTTACACACAAATGCAAATGAAACAACATGATTAATATGCAGCAGTCGATCTGAACAACACTGGCTGCGTCCCAAATCTGCGTCCCATACTTTCTTGAGTAGTCATTTAAAAAGCCTACGTATTAAGGTAAAATGATGTAAAATGATGAAAGGAAGATTTGTAATGGTGTAAATCGCCCTTAAAGTGTAAGAAAAAAAAATATTTGTAGCATTTAACTGTTTTATAGTTAAAATAAATATTTGTATTCTTCAGACTTTCATTTGACACAGTTTTAAAAACTAACAGCAATCTGCAAGCGAAAACAACAGAGGCAGGAACTGCGAAACGGATGAATTGCGTAAAATTAAACTTTAAAATTAAAATTAAACTTTAAAATTAAACCGGGTAAACCGGTTCCCGATGGAAATAACCTGATCTGTACATTTGCATCTCTCGTTTATCTGCACATTCTCGCACTCATGAGTTTTGCCAGTTTTGCAAGTGCAAAGAGGAGGGCGGGGCCACCTTCATCATGTAGCCAATCAGATGAGCTTCTCGCTGACACTCGATTTATGCTTATCTGATTGGTTCAATAAACACGCCCATGACCAAGACACACCTTTATCTTTATTTGGCTCAGAGATGTTCTCAAGGATGCACACATGTGAAATAAACAAATAAATAACTAACTAAATAAATCATGATTACTTAATGAGCTGTGCACCAGGCTGACTGACATTCATATTGAATTTCGAGCTGGTGTAAATGGATTTAATTTTTTTTTACATTACATAATCTGTAACACCACTGAGCTGATGTTAAAGTTTACAATCAAAACATTTAATACCCATTCTCTATGCAGTATTACCATTCTGATCATGTCTTTACACCTTTACAAATCTTCCTTTGCACATGCACATTTATTTTACGCTTGCAATCTTATACTCTTTCACAAACCTTACCCTGTGCATGCAATTCTTTCAGGCATTATTTTGCCTTCATAACTCTGTTTTATGAAATATATTATGAATTAAATTTAGATGTACTATTCATTATGTTGTCATGACTTCTCTGTCATTTATAAATGCTCCTGGGACAATAAAGTGTCCATCTCACACACACTTCTTATTGTTTTTCACCTACTGTAACATTACAATTATAGAAAAATATATAACAAAATTAAACAATCAAAAACTCACATCAGCGGAATGACGCGCGCGCCCGCGGACTCCAGGAACTTGACGTACGACGCCCCGATGTACGCGTTTCTCTGAGGCGTCGCGTTGAACACGTCCTGCGCGAGAACACCTGGACAGGTTTAAAGTTAAACTCTCTCGTTACACAGAATTGAATACACCTGTTCAACTCACCGATTATTGGTCTGTCGTTCGTGTTTATTGGTGCTGCGAAACGGTCCGAAAACACGGAATCTGCAAGAAGACACGCGAGGCAGAAGAAGTGGATCATGTTTAGACCTTCACAGCTTCCTTATGTGTGACCGAAAATACGCAAGTGCCGTGGAAGTCTTTCTTCCTCCCTGGTCAGGGTGTGTTCAGAGAATGTAGACGGACTTTGGTGTGTGTGTGTGTGTTGTGAAGTGCTGGGTCCCACCTGGTCCCACCCTGGGGTCCCACTGATCGGGGATCGGCGATCGTTTGCTCCTGTCTGTCACCTGATGGAGTTCTGGTTCCTTGCCACTGTTGCTCATAGTTAGTTGTGGACATTTAATATTCAACAATATTATTGATCTGTTTGGTTTTATTTTCATGTTATCACTGTGAAGCTGCTTTGACACTAATCTGTTTTGTAGAAAGCGCTATGTAAATAAAGGTGACTTGACTGAAGTCAGGTTATTTGCATTAGAAAAAAAAAACACGTTTCCGCGTTCATAACCTAACATCATGTTTGTTTTTTACTACGGTCCTCGTAAAACAGACGGTAAAAATAGCTTTTACACTATTTATATACCTATTTTTTTCTGCTTGTATTATTTTCTTTGGTTTTCTTTCTCTTTACTTGTATCTTTATTTTATATATTGCACTGTTTATTATAATTTCCTATTTGCTGTAGTGTATATTTGTTCAATATTATTAAACTATAATAAATAAATAAAACATACGGCTGAATAAAGATTAGTTTTAGAAATGAATAATAATATGGGAAATATTATGATATCATCATATTAATATAGGCGCTACCCAGTGGATAATAAAAAGAAATAAATATATGTTTCAATATGTACTTTTATTATCAGAAAAACTAAAGCAGTGAGAAGAAACCGTGACAATCCCTGAAATCACTGTAAACAAAGGGTTAATGAAAACACAGGCAGAGGTGGTCACGTGAGTGTTTTTTACAGCGGCTTGACCAATCAAGATCAAAGAGCGGAATTATTATTATTATTATTTTTAAACAGAAAATACATTTAGATCATTTACTGTATTAAGCTATGAACGGTTGAACATAGATTTTTAAAAATAATAATAATTTAAAAAAAATATCGTTGATTGTTATTGTTATTTCTCCACGGCAGCGTGACAGAGATATGTCCATCGATCACGTGGTTCTTCCTCTGTTTCCGAGCATTTCCGTGTTTACATTCCCGGATCCCTCATGGCTTTCATCACAAAGAAGGATCGTGCTAAAGAAAGGTACTGTCACACTTCACCCGGCGTGTTGATTCCTCCAGCCTGCTTTCCCTCAGGTCCGCGCCGTGGAACTCTCTCTGACTTCTGGCCTGTCGTGTCACTCGAGCTCGCGGGTCACTCGCCTCATAAACAGGCCAGCAAACGGTCGAAACACGCAGCACCCATGATCCCAGCATAGCTATGCGTTTCTTGAGGCGAATACTTCATTTTGGTCCTTTATTAACACTTTCTAAAGAGAGAGAGAGAGAGAGAGAGAGAGAGAGAAAGAGAGGTGTCCAGTTTGTTGGTTCACTTCTAAAGTTAAGACTCGTTGTGTATTTACTAGATGTTAGCTGAGTAGAAACATCTTTGTTTTAACCTTAATTTAGTGGTGAACTCAATTTTTTTTTAGAGAAAAGCAGTTTTGAAAAATATGAACGTCACCTGTTGAAGTCTGTCGATGTCACATGACCTGTCTCAGTAATTATTCATTTGTTTACTTTTCGTCAGGCTAGTGTCTATAACTGCTTTCATTAAAGTCTCTATGAAATCAAAATGGACTTTTTTTCACGTTACATTTGCAGTGTTTATTATTAAATAGTTGATAGTGCTCAAGGCTGGGAATTTTCTGAATCATAACATTAAAAACTTTGATTTAAAGCATTATATTTTTGAAAATCGGACAAAAAAGCAAAAGCACAAGACTGTAATTTCGGCTTCAGTGAGGGAAAAAACTACGATCCCCCAAAGCATTGCGAACAGCATAACTGATGTACAAATAAAAATATTTGGCATAAAAACAATGGCAAATCTATGGAGTTATTACCAGAAAAAGAAAGACTGTGTTGAACTGTCCTTCCTCTCTTGTCAAACACTTTCTGTGCAGATTCTCGCTGTTGTTGCTGGATCTGGAGGAACATTATTTTGAACAACACACTGCTTATAATCTGAGCAACAGCAGTCCAGAGGCGAACAGGTGAGATCACTCGCTGAGAACACGACCCAATCATTTATAAGAGAAACGTGCAGAATATGACACTGAAACATGATGGCTGTAAAACAGCAATCGACTTGTTGTCTTGTTTCTTGATTGATTATTGATTGATTTACTGTTCTTCAGGAATTAAATGTCCTGCCGATTTGGGACTTAACTCGTTTCTACTTGATGAATCAGTGTTTTTGAGTGAATCTCTTGAATGAATGATTCAATGACTCACTCATAAAGACTTCACTCGTTTCATTACTGTTTGAATCAGCGTTTTTGAATGAATCTCTTGAATGAATGATTCAATGACTCACTCATAAAGACTTCACTCGTTTCATTACTGGATGAATCAGCGTTTTTGAACGAATCTCGTGAATGAATGATTCAATTACTCACTCATAAAACTTCACTCGTTTCAGTACAGGATGAATCAGCGTTTTTGAACGAATCTCGTGACTAAATGATTCAATGACTCACTTATAAAGACTTCACTCCTTTCATTACTGGATGAATCAGCGATTTTGAATGAATCTTTTGAACGAATGATTCAATGACTCACTCGTTACATTACTGGATGAATCAGCGATCTTGAACGAATCTCGTGAATGAATGATTCAATGACTCACTCATAAAGACTTCACTCCTTTCATTACTGGATGAATCAGCGATTTTGAACAAAACTCGTGAATGAATGATTCAATGACTCACTCATAAAGACTTCACTCGTTTCATTACTGGATGAATCAGCGTTTTTGAACGAATCTCGTGAATGAATGATTCAATGACTCACTCATAAAACTTCACTCGTTTCAGTACAGGATGAATCAGCGTTTTTGAACGAATCTCGTGACTAAATGATTAAATGACTCACTTATAAAGACTTCACTCCTTTCATTACTGGATGAATCAGCGTTTTTGAATGAATCTTTTGAACGAATGATTCAATGACTCACTCGTTACATTACTGGATGAATCAGCGATCTTGAACGAATCTCGTGAATGAATGATTCAATGACTCACTCATAAAGACTTCACTCGTTTCATTACTGTTTGAATCAGCGTTTTTGAATGAATCTCTTGAATGAATGATTCAATGACTCACTCATAAAGACTTCACTCATTTCATTACTGGATGAATCAGTGTTTTTGAACGAATCTCATGTATGAATTATTCAATGACTCGCTCATAAAGATTTAGGACATTTCATTACTGTTTGAATCATCGTTTTTGAACAAATCTCTTGAAAGAATGATTCAATGACTCACTCATAAAGATTTTTTTTTTATTAAACATTAAAGCAATACATACAAATATATATATATATATATATATAAATTACAGCAAAATACACAGACACAAATAAGTTGCCAGGGTAACATAAAAACAAGAATGCGGTGCATTCACCTTAAGAGGACATAAAGATTTAACTCGTTTCATTACTGTTTGAATCAGTGTTTTTGAACAAATCTCTTGAATGAATGATTCAATGACTCACTCATAAAGACTTCACTCGTTTCATTACTGTTTGAATCAGTGTTTTTGAACAAATCTCTTGAATGAATGATTCAGTGACAAAACATTTGTTTTCTCCTACTATTAAAACTAACTGGTAACTGTGATATTCAACACGATAGTTTCGTTTAAATCTGTTTGTTTCAACACAGACGATCCAGCGGCTCATTAAAGATCTGCTCTAAATCGGTGATCTTTGAACCCGATGATGTGAAGGAGCCTATTCTAAAGGTGAATATCGATATCATCACCACGTTTCGCTGTTATGATTTAATAATAAATGTCTTTCCTGCAGATTCCCCTGAAAGACTGCGACGGGATCGCGGCGCTGGAGGAGTCGGCACACAACCCGTTTATAGAGTAATACTGAGATCTTTCCTGTTGGTGTTGTGAGTTTTGTTGTGACTTTCATCATATTCTTTCTTTCCTTTTAATCCGTGTTTGCAGAAGTGAACCTGCCTGCATTCTTATAGAAACCAAGCAGGTGAGTGAGTCTCACTTTCACTTCGTCGTTTAATATCTGCAAAAGTTTCAATATTCAACCCTTTTTTTTGTCAGATTTATCTAATTAAAGAAGAAAATGCGGTTGCTCCGTATAAATACAAAAGGGTGAGTTCATTTTTTGTGTGTAAGTGTGTAAGAAACGAGTGTGTTTTCAGTTTTGGCACATGTCATAAACTGCAGGGAATAATATCTTTACACTGATGTATTGTTGGATTAATCGTTGCTCGTCAGGGAGAAAGAAAGGTCGTGTTCCAGTTGGAGGCGAACAGAAAAACGGAGGATGTTGTTCAGATGTTGTTACAGGTTTGCCTTTTTCTTTCTCTTTCTCTTGAGATTTGTGATTTTTACTTTCATCTGCCCTTTTTATTGCTGTTTTTTGTATCACATATTTTAACAATCATCATAAATTAGGTATCATTCAAAATCTTACAAACTCAAAATTCTAAACCATTTTGAAATTGGACATTGTGTTACCATGGAAATGGTACTCTAAATTATTTTATCTGGCTCCTCCCCTAGTGGGCGTCGCCAGGTTTCATATTACAACATTTATTTGAACTACTTTATAATCAAAACCTTTTTCTAATCTTGACAAAACGCATATCGTCGGAAAGGTCTGAGTCTAAAGGTTTCATAATAAGCGACTATATATTCATAGAAGTGATATGTGGACAGAAGTTTGTTCATTTGTTTCAGGAAGGTGTATAAAACAAAATTCAATGTAATGTGTCCCTCCCCGGTGGATATGTGTGGTACTGCGCCTAAACACAATCTCATAAGAACTTCAAATTTTGTGATATTAACTTGATTGGTTAGCTTGGTTAGACATAAGGCTTTGATTATATGGTAACTTTAGAGTAAAAATAATTTAGTAATACATTCATTTTATATATATATATATATATATATATATATATATATATATATATATATACGTATATATAAATCACTCAGCAATAATCTACTGAGTGTCTTTGTTCTAATTCCAAAGCATTCTTGAATTACAGCCGTTTTAATTTTAATTGATTTTCAATTTCATGTCTATCCTCATACAGTAAAGTTTTAATAACTCTGCTGTTTTTACAGTTGCACAGAGCGTCGCGTCTGGAAAAACTGGGCGATCAGACGGCAATGGTCAGTACAATCAAATACATTTCCGTAGATACTTATTTGCTTCATTTTTTGAGGATCTGTGTGTGATCTGTGTGTGTTTCTGCTGAAGATTGCTGCTATATTGCAGTCCCGGTTGGCAAGAACGTGTTTTGATAAGAACAGGTGAGAATATTCATTCCTCCAGTTGTTGATGATCTCAGAGTAGAAATAATAGTGAATGTATTTACAATATCAACAGGATACAGTTTTCGGGTTGTTTGCAGTTGTGAATATAACGCTTGTAGAGATGCACCAATATTAACGTTTTGGCCGATAACCGATAATTCTTTATATTTTAAAACCGATATATCGGCCGATAAATCTAAATGAAAATTTTTATATCATTTTTGAGAGCCTGATTACAAAAGCAAAAGTCTCACCATTAAAATCCACGTCCCAAACACACAATTATGATGTTCTCATTATGATTCTATGTAGTCGATATGACCTCAGCACTTTGAAGTGATTCCAATCAAGCAACTCAAAACCCTCATGTTGAACAGTGCGCATCTGAAGCGTCTCAGCTGAAGGAAATAATACACTATTTATCGGCTTCAATATATCTGATAGATTAGATCAGATCTGCAGATACTGATAACATTAGAAATGAACATATATCAGAATATATCGGGCGATACCAATAACATTAAAAATAAACATATATCGGGCGATACCGATAACATTAGAAATAAACATATATCCGCCGATACCGATAACATTAAAAATAAACATATATCGGCCGATACTATAACATTAAAAATGAACATATATCAGGCGATACCGATAACATTAAAAATGAACATATATCGGAATATATCGGACGATACCGATAACATTAAAAATGAACATATATCGGAATATATTGGACGATACGATAACATTCGAAATAAACATATATCGGCCGATACCGATAACATTAAAAGTAAACATATATCGCCCATACGATAATATTAGAAATAAACATATATCGCCCATACGATAATATTAGAAATAAACATATATCGGGCAATGCCGATAACATTAGAACTCAACATGTATCGGGCCATACCAATAAGATTAAAAATAAACATAAATCGACCAATACCAATACCGAGAACATTAAAAATAAACATGTATGGGCAGATACCGATAACATTAGAAATAAACATATATCGGCTTATACCGATAACATTAGGAATAAACATATATCGGCCGATACCGATATGATGGGTGATATATCTCGCATCTCGACTCATGAAATGTCTGCAGTTTTCAGGACGTGGCCGAACACCCGCACATGGAGTGTGTGGCGGAAACGGTTTCTCCTTTGGTGACGAACGCCGGACACGTTTGCATCAGCGATCGCAATCTTTACTTCCAGCCGCTGAACGGCTATCCGGTGAGTGATGGGAAGGGCAGTTCGCTGTGTGTGTTCATGTAGTTCATCAGTGTGTTGAAGTGTGTTTTCTCAGGTTACTGATACACCAACACAGGTTTTAACCTCATTTTCCTTGCATGCACATTAAGAAAATGAGATTTTATTTAAGAACACTTGTTTCACATGTTAATGCACTTGATTATCAATAAAAGATGCGACGCTTGATTTGGTTTATATTTGCTCACTGCTCCCTCTTGTGGACACAGGAGACAATACAGCACTGCTATCCTCGAACACACAGATTGCCTTTAGAAGTAGACTATAATTCATATTTAGCAAATATTTAAGATGGTTAAATCTTTACAGTTCCTTCTCTGCGGTTCTTGTGTGTGTGTGTGTGTGTGTGTGTGTGTGTGTGTGAGACAGGATCCAGTGGTTCAGATCGAGTTACACAGTGTGAGACGCATCTACAAACGGAGACACGGACTGAGGCCTTTGGTGAGGGATGTCCTTCATTCTGCCATCCGTTCTTCAGTTGTGTGTCTGTTATTTACTGTGTGTGTGTGTGTGTGTGTTCAGGGCCTTGAGGTGTTTTGCACAGAGGATGATCTGCGCTCGGATATATACCTGAAGTTCTACAGCACTAAAGAGAGAGATGAGCTTTACTACCACATTGCAACTATTCTTGGTAGGCTTTATCTGTGTGTGTGTGTGTGTGTGTGTGTTTGTCAACTGCACTGTATTTCTGTGAATCCTTTATTACCACAGTTTAAGTTGGAAATTAAATTTTCATGTCTACGCTTAAAACATGAATAAATGGATTATAAATACAGCGTAAATATAATGTAGGACCATAAGATCCCGTAAAAATACAAAATATTAAATTAAAAAAACTAGAGCTCGACCGATAAAGGATTTTGAAGGCCGATACCGATACAAATATTTTTGGGTTTTAAAATCCGATATTCCGATATATCGGCCGATATTTTTTTTTTTCCCAAAACGCGCAACAAAAAATGAACAAATTTCCCTAACGTTAGTTATTTGTAGTTATTTATGAGTTTTAACTAAAATAATATGATAATGCATTTTATAAAGAAACTTGTTTCTTTTATTGTCACAACAGAATAGACTGATGACTGAGCGCCCTCTGGTGGACAAACTACACAACTCCAACACTCATGACATGGTTCAAGCGTGTTTCATCCATTTCATTTTATTTTTAAATATTCATTTATCGGCCGTTATAACTACCGATACCGATAGTTTTGAAAATGCCTAATATCGGCCGATATATCGGTCTGGCTCTAAAAAAAAACCTTATCAAACTAAAATACAATCATCCATTTTTTTTTTTTTTTTAAATATTCATTTATCGGCCATTATAACTGCCGATATCAATAGTTTTAAAAGTGCCTAATATCGGCCGATATATCGGTCTGGCTCTAAAAAAAAACCTTATCAAACTAAAATATAATCATCCATTTTATTTTATTTTTAAATATTCATTTATCGGCCATTATAACTGCCGATATCGATAGTTTCGAAAATGCCTAATATCTGCCGATATATCGGTCTGGCTCTAAAAAAAACGTTTTCAAACTAAAATATAATCATCTATTTTATTTTATTTTTAAATATTCATTTATCGGCCATTATAACTGCCGATATCGATAGTTTCGAAAATGCCTAATATCGGCCGATATATCGGTCTGGCTCTAAAAAAAACATTATCAAACTAAAATATAATACATTCCTTTCATTGAAAAAAATAGATTAAATAAATGTCCTAATTGACCGAAGGTCTAATCCTGGTTTAATCTTAGTCCTCTCTGTGGAACCAGACCAGTAAACACAGTTTTAATGCAAACTTTTTGTATTAATGCACTTACTTCTGAAAATGAAGCTAAAGCGAGAGAGATTCGCTCTAGTGAAAGTAATCCTCTGGATATAAAGTGTGTAGGATTTTTATGTTAAAATACATTCTCTTCTCTATTCATTGACTACTATTAGCACTATTATCACCTACTAACTCCAAGAAGCGTCTTCACATGTTAGTGACATCACAAACCCTAACATTTACATAAACTCCGCCCCCGGGACATGATTTATAGATTTTCATGACAGAATTTGCTAATAAATGTCTAGAAGACACACACACACACACGTACACACAAACACACCAGGAGCAGCAGCTCATTTGCATTTAAAGGGACAGACACAAAAACTGCATTTTTGCTCACTCTTAAAAAGTGTCAATTTTACACATTTTAGCATGATGATAAAATATCTGTGGGAATCTTTTGCTCATACTTGGTAATAATTGAATATAAAATCCCCACTTGCAACTCCGTTTATGTGTGTGTGTGTGTCAGAGAACCACGTAGCGGAGCACACGGCAGAGAGCTTCATGCTACAGTGGCAGAGAGGACACATCTCCAACTATCAGTACCTGCTCCACCTCAACAACCTGGCGGACCGCAGCGTCAACGACCTCTCGCAGTACCCGGTGTTCCCCTGGACCGTCAGCGACTACAGCAGCGCTCAGCTGGGTCAGTGACACACACACACACTCACACACACACACTCTCTCTCTAATACTGGTATGTTTATTTCAGATTTGCTGAATCCTGCTTCATTTCGAGATCTCAGTAAACCAATCGGAGCGTTGAACCCCGAGAGACTGGAGAGATTACTGGTGAGAAACCCCCTCAGATGCAGCTCATCATCATCACATGACAAGAGTGTGTGTATCATGTGTGTGTGTGTGTGTGTTACAGGAACGCTACAGAGACATGCCTGAGCCTCGTTTCATGTACGGCAGTCATTATTCATCACCTGGATATGTGCTTTTCTACCTCGTCAGAGTGGGTAAGTGTGTGTGTGTGTCTCGGGTAAGAGTGTGTGTTTGACACAGTTGGGAAATTAAAGTAGAATTAAAGTTTTGATTATTTGAACCCACTGTACAGTTGTGGAATATATATAAACCGCACACGTTGTTTAAAGCTTGTTTAAGAGTTTGCTTCATTCGTTCAGTTCACTAGCAGGACGTTTATAGTGTTCATGCAACAAATGGACGTCTTTTAAAGGAGTAGTTCACTTTCGAAAAAACTTTTGCTGATAATTTACTCGCCCCCGTGTCATCCGAGATGTCCATGTCTTTCTTTCTTCAGTCGAAAAGAAATTAAGGTTTTTGATGAAAACATTCCAGGATTTTCTCCATATAATGGACTTCAATGGGGTCCAAACGGTTCAAGATCCAAAAGACAGTTTCAGTGCAAACTGTTCAAAGGGCTTTAAACGATTCCAAGGGTCTTATCAAGCGAAACGATCACTCGTTTAATAAATAAATAACAAAGTTTAAGTTTTATAAGCTCAAACGCTCGCCTTGCTCTGTTCTGTAACGCACTCCTGTTCGAACTCGCTCATCAAAATGAACAAATCTTTTTCCGAGTCAATCGGCGAAAGAAACGAACGAACTGATTCGGAAAAAGATTTGTTCATTTTGATGAGCGAGTTCGAACAGGAGTGCGTTACAGAACAGAACAAGGCGAGCGTTTGAGCTTATAAAACTTAAACTTTGTTATTTATTTATTAAACGAGCGATCGTTTCGCTTGATAAGACCCTTGGAATCGTTTAAAGCCCTTTGAACAAGTTTGCAGTTTGCACTGAAACTCTCTTTTGGACCTTGAACCGTTTGGACCCCATTGAAGTCCATTATATGGAGAAAAATCCTGGAATGTTTTCATTAAAAACCTTAATTTCTTTTCGACTGAAGAAAGAAAGACATGGACATCTTGGATGACACGGGGGCGAGTAAATTATCAGCTAAAGTTTTTTGAAAAGTGAACTACTCGTTTAATGAGTGTGAGTTTTCTGGCGTATCTGCTGTGACTCGTCAACATCATCTTGACGAAACGCTGGCTTGTGGAAGCGAACCGAAGGAGGAGAAAGGCCTGAATTAACCATTTAAATTCCTGATGCAGAACCAAACACACACACACACACACATGTTTGTCCCCTGCAGCTCCAGAACACATGCTGTGCCTGCAGAACGGCCGCTTCGATCACGCCGACCGCATGTTCAACAGGTATGAGCACACACACACTCTCAAGGGTACGTCTTTGAAATTGAGATCACATCATGTGAAAGCTGGATAGATAAGGGCCATTGATGTGTGGTTTGTGAGGATAGGACAATATTTGTCCGAGATACGACCATTAGAACATCTGAGGGGGCAAAACAACACATGGAGGAAATCATCTTTAAGGTTGTGCTGTTATGTTCGTGATTTTGCTGCATCCACTCACAAAAATACATTTTTATATATATTTATGGTAGGAATTTTCTATATATCTCTATCTTTAATTAATATCCGAATGATTTTTTTGGCATAATTTTGACCCATATACAGTGTTGGGTGTAACTAATTACTAAGTAATTAGTTACTGTAATTTAATTACTTTTCCCTTGAAAATGTAAAATAAGGGATTACTCTTCATTTATCTGTAATTTAATTACAGTTACTTCTGATGTAATTGAGGTAAATAGATCAATCCGATCTCACAGCGATTCGTATGAGGTGTCTAAATATTACGACCGCACTCGTACAAATTCATATGAATTATTGTAAAATATGTCTGAAAAAAGTGTGAAATATCATGAGATCAGACATAATAATAGAGGGTTTAACATCAAAATATATTGTCTGATGCTAAAAAGTATGTTTTTATAATGTAACCTTCTCCACTTTGGTCAGTTTAAGGATAATTCATGCAATTTTATAGTATTTATTTGAAAGAATTAAAACAGATTCAAGTCTATCCTTGTATTATTCAGCTGGTTGAGATTGATATGGGATTTTGAAAGTAAAATAAAAGTAATTAAATACTTTTTAGAGAGAGTAATTAGTACAGTAATCTAATTACATTGTTGAAGAGGTCATTAGTAACTAGTAATTAATTACTTTTTTAGAGTAACTTACCCAACACTGCCCATATAGTGTACTGCCTCAAATATACCCGTGCGACTCGCGACCGGTTTTGTGATCCAGGGTCACACACACACACACACACACATGTGAAACTCGAAAAATTAGAATATCGTGCAAAAGTTCATTTATTTCAGTAATTCAACTTAAAAGCTGAAACTAATATATTATAGAGACTCATTACATGCAAAGTGAGATATTTCAAGCCTTATTACTTATAATTGTGATGATTACGGCTTACAGATATGAAAACCCCAAATTCAACATTAAAATATTGTGAAAAAGGTTTTCATAAGCTGAAGCCATAATCATCACAATTATAACAAATAAAGGCTTGAAATATCTCATTGTACATGTATTGAGTCTATATAATATATTAGTTCAGCTGTACAGTAAATGAACATGTCTTTATGATGATGATGATGATGATGTGCACCTGTCCTGCAGTGTTGGAGAGACGTGGAAGAACTGTTTAGAGGGAGGCACTGATTTCAAAGAGGTGAGTGTTTTATTGAGCATATCGCAATACTGATTTTTATATTGCAATACTTGTATAAGTATAAGTCCCCCTGTGGTTAAAATCAGCTTTAATATTGTTTATACGTCCATGTGGTGTTTTTAACAGAGTGCTTGAATTAGATTTTTTGACATAAATCCTGGACAACCCTTGAAAACAGACATATTTATGAAAAGAAATTACTGTTTCTTTTGAAAATGAACACTGCAGTGTGTCTAATATAGATCTAGAGGGATTTCGCGTGGCTATGAAAGTGATATCGCTCATAAATATCCAAATATATGAGACAGCTTTTATTCTGCATGTCAGTCATATATACATGAGAGCAAAACATTTAATAAGGAGAGCGAGTACATTTTTTAATGGTTGAAGTTTCCACAGTCATTCCATGTGCTGCACTTTATTTGTACCATTTTGTTTTATTCATTTATTTTATTAAATTTTTTAGATTGTGAAAGATAATCAAGATATTGTTTGATAAGATCTCTGATTTTAGTCCTTGAAAACCATTCTTGAAAGTCTTGGATTTTCATTTTACAATATCTGTATTAACGCTGTGTTTAATCCGCTTTAACACACACCGTGTGTGTTGATAAGTGGACTGCACCACTGGTGTTTCTGACATCACAAACCACCTTGTAACCAATCAGATCAACGTGTGATCGCCAACCAGTGGATCTCTGAGTGAGTGAGTGGAGGCGGGGCTCATTTACATATTCATAGAACCCCCGCGAATACTAAATGAGGCGAGGGTGTCGAGTTACATTCATGATATTTTAAGGCGTGACGAAAAAAAGCTGAGCGAGTGAGTGAAGGCGGGCTCATTTGCATATTCATAGACCCACGCGTACTAAATGAGGCGAGGGTGTCGAGTTACATTAATATTTTAAGGCGTTTTTCAAGGAAAAAAAAACGTTTAAATGTGTAATTTTGGTGATCAAACGTGAGTTTTAAGCAAGCGTGCCGCACAAGCCCTCCAAAAAGAAGCCGAAACGTCTCGATCGCCCCCCAGTGGCCGGTCCTAGTATAGCTCATAAACCCCACCTCCCCATGTTATTCAATGGGACGCGAGACCAACTAAACAATTAAATTACACTTCACATAACCTTTTTCCAAAGATCGTTTCTGTCATTTACTGTAGTTTCTGTCACGTTGATGTAATTTCAAGTGTTCGTTTTTAAAAATAAGTTTGTTTTGAGTTAGTTATGTGATGATAAAAACTTTTAAACTGAAAAAAAAACTTTATTAAAAACTTTTTAATAATGTTGATTATTGACATACAGATAATGTTTAATTTTTGGTCTTGCAATAGTATATTTGATGTGTTTGTGTGTGTGTGTGTGTGTGTGTGTGTGTGTGTGTGTGCAGCTGATTCCCGAGTTTTATGGAAGTGACAGCAGTTTTCTGAGGAATCTTCTGGGTCTGGATCTGGGCCGGAGGCAGGGAGGAGGACGAGTGGAGAGTGTTGATCTTCCTCCGTGGGCTTCAGGTGCACATGCGCTCTTCTGTCCCGATGTTCAATCCGTTTGACATCGTGATTTGAAAACGACAGTGGCCGCCGGGACGCAATAATCCATCGTTTTATCTCATGTGACGTGTCCTTCAGGAACACTGTCGGGATTTCTCTCTTTCCTTAAGACAAGACCGCCGATACACAACACATCTCTTCTGTAGCCGTTGTACGTTTGCGCTCGTTACCGTAAGTTAGTCGCTAGTTCCGCCTTCTCGATGGCAGAGCCAATCAGCTTGATGTGATTGCATGTAAAACACGCCCTCTAGTGACTGAACCCGGTATTTCTTTAAAGCTATGGTCCCTTTGATTGGGAAAATGTTCTATCTACAGAATATTAGCTTTTATTAGTCTTAATAGCTGAAAATTTCAAAATATGGGGAAAATTCGCTATTTAATTGTATGCAGTCTTACGGTTTTCACTAAACAGATGATCAAAACTACGGAAAATCCCATAGACTTCCTTTGAAGGCGCCAAAACTTTTATACAATAGCTAGCTACTAGCTTAGGACATGTTAACACCACGTTAGCGAAATGTTAAATCATGCTAGTAACGTGTTTAAACATGCTATCAATGTGCTCATTCATGTTAACAACATGTCAGCAATTGGTAAGACGTGATAGTGTGATGTTAATTCATGTTAGCAATCTGTTAATGTGCAAATTCAAGTTAAAACATGTTAGCAACATGTTAAATCGTGTTAGCAATGTGTTAAATCATGCTATCGATGTGCTCATTCATTTTAGCAACGTGCTAAAACATGTTAGCAACATGTAAGCAATTGGGAAGACATGTTAGTGTAATGTTAAATCCTGTTAGCAATCTGTTAAAACGTTACCATCGAGTTAAATCACACTAGCAATGTGCTAAGTAATGCTACCAATGTGTTAAATTATGTTATATTATGCTAGCAATCTGATAAAACAATGTCAACATGCTTATGGTAGTAATGTTTAAACATGCAAGTACATGCTAATTTATGTTAGCGATTGATAAGATATGTTAGTAAAATGTTAATTAATGCTAGAGTGTGTAAAAACATGTTAGCAAAATGCTAAATAATGCTAAGACGTGCTAACAACATGATACAACTTGCTAGTAACACGATCAAACATGCTAGGAAGCTTAATAACGTTCAAACAAGGCCACCAAGTTAAATCAGACTAGCAATGTGCTAAGTAATGCTAGCAATGTGTTAAATTATGTTATATTATACTAGCAATCTGATAAAACACTGTCAACATGCTTAATCATGCTAATTTGTGTTAGCAATTGATAAGACAAGTTAGTAAAGTGTTAATTAATGTTAGAGTGTGTAAAAACATGTTAGCAAAATGCTAAATAATGCTAAGACGTGCTAACAACATGATACAACTTTCTAGTAACACGATTAAACATGCTAGGAAGCTTATTAACGTTCAAACAAGGCTTTGGTAATCCAACATAAACGTTTAATTGTCTTGACAAATATTTTCATGTTAATGGTTATAACTTTAACTTTATTCCGCTCTAACGCTTTGCAAAACGTTGTTTGTCCAGATCCGGACGACTTCTTGCAGAAGCAGCGTCTGGCTCTGGAGAGTCCGTGTGTGTCTGAGCACCTGCACGAGTGGATCGATCTGATCTTCGGATATAAGCAGAAGGGCAGCGAGGCCGTGGCCAGCCATAACGGTGAAATAACACTAATGTTATGATATATGAAGGATTAGTATGTTATTGATATTATTTTTTGTCTGCTATATTACAGTGTTCCACCCGTTAACATATGAGGGAGGAGTCGACTGCGACAGGTAACCTCAGTCTCTCTAATTAACCCTTTATGGACATTTGTGTCTCTTTCAGTTTTCTGTTGTTGATTATTTTGCCTGTGTTAAAGCCATCTGCATGTATTTTGGCACAGGTGTGTGTTTTTACTATTTCACCGCCATTTACTTTAAAAAATCTAATTTGCACTAGAAACACTCCACTCTTTTGGACAGAAATGCCCCCATTGAAGGCGTTCGTCTCAAGGGTTTTTCTTCTGGGGCTTTTATTCTGTTGGTTAGACTTGCAATGTTTCTCAGGTTTGGCCTGTAAAGCAAATGCTCGCTTTATTTTCTGCTTCGGCATATTATAGACCATTTCACAAGATGTAAACAACACTGGTCCAGAAGCACTTCCTGTTTCAGTTTTTTAACACTACATAAAAGCTGGGATAAAATACAACCAACAGAACATTTAAAACTGAATCAAAAAGTTAAACAAACATCTTTAAGATGTTTTCTTTACATGTGAAATAAAGAAAACAGCTACAAACTGAAACAGGAAGTGCTTCTGGACCAGTGTTGTTTACATCTTGTGAAATGGTCTATAGAGCCACTTGGATAAATTATACAGCTATAATTGTGTGTGTGTGTGTGTGTGTGTGTGCTTGTAATATTTGAGAGAGAAAAAGTCTGCTGGAAATCCCAGATCTAGGTCCCAAAAAACAAAATCTCACTGAAATCAAATTTTTTGAGAAATCAACTTCAAATTTGAAGCACGATTTTCTTTTATTTTTTTATTTTTTTAGTAGTTTTAGAGTTCAGCATGTTTCATAAAATATATATTTTATGTAAAATAATCAAATATATAATTTTCATATATAATTTTTTGGTTTCACTTTTTATCCGGCAATAATCCTAAAATGAGACCAAGCTTAAAGGAGTAGTTCACTTTTGAAAAAAACTTGCTTAGTAAATTGCTTATAATTTACTCGCCCCCGTGTCATCCGAGATGTCCATGTCTTTCTTTCTTCAGTCGAAAAGAAATTAAGGTTTTTGATGAAAACATTCCAGGATTTTCTCCATATAATGGACTTCAATGGGAACCAAACGGTTCAAGGTCCAAATGAGAGTTTCAGTGCAAACTGTTCAAAGGGCTTTAAACGATTCCAGACGATGAATAAGGGTCTGATCAAGCGAAACGATCACTCATTTAATAAATAAATAACAAAGTTTAAGTTTTATAAGCTCAAATGGTCGCCTTGCTCTTCTGTGATGCGCGTTCGTGACTCTCCTGTTCGAATCAAAATGAACAAATCTTTTTTTGAGTCATTTGGTTCATTCAACGAACAAAACAAACGAATTGACTCTAACAGGAGAGTCACGAACGCGCATCACAGCATTTGAGCTTATAAAACTTAAACTTTGTTATTTATTTATTAAACAAGCGATCGTTTCGCTTGATAAGACCCTTATTCATCGTCTGGAATCGTTTAAAGCCCTTTGAACAGTTTGCACTGAAACTTTCTTTTGGATCTTGAACCGTTTGGACCCCATTGAAGTCCATTATATGGAGAAAATCCTGGAATGTTTTCATCAAAAACCTGAGGAAAGAAAGACACGGACATCTCGGACGACACGGGGGTGAGGAAATTATCCGCACAAGTTTTTTGAAAAGTGAACTACTCCTTTAAGTCTGTTTTAAAGAGTTTTTTGACCGATTTTAGTCCACTTTGGACCTTAGTGTAACTCTGTCTGATGCACAAGGGTTAAATAGCGTTTTGATTTTTCTTTGTGTTTTATATTTGTCAGTGTACATTTTGTCAGTGTGTGTGTGTGTGTGTTTCTTCAGTATTGAGGACCCGGATCAGAAAATAGCCATGCTAACTCAAATCCTGGAGTTTGGCCAGACGCCCCGCCAGCTCTTCGTCACTCCTCATCCTCAGAGGATCACTCCTCGCTTCCACAGCCTGTCGGCGACCGTCAGTCTCAGCAGCTGCGAGCTCTCGCCAGGTATTTCAATTTCAATTTCTAACAAAATTGCAATGTTAGATTGTAATCATAATCATAATGCAAAACCTTATCTAACAGAAAAATATCTAAACCTTGACCAACAGTAGTTTCGAACAATTTCTAAATGTAAATCTTAATGCAAAACCTAATAAAAGTAATAAATTATGCCTAAAAAAAACATCAACTATCGAATCCAAAAGCCTCTCTGTGTATTTATAGGGAGTTGCACACTGTGACATACGCCTCCTGGCACTATTCTCACGTAAAACGTTTATTTTAAAGGCCTTCGCTCTATTTTAATCTGAAATACAGTGTCTCCTAGCATGGACTCGTTTGAGGACCTGACTGAGGAGAGCAGGAAGATGGCCTGGAGCAACATGAACAAACTCGTATTGCAGTCGCGCCACAAAATACACAAGGAGTGAGTATCTGTGTGTGCAGTTGTGCGCGCTGGTTAGCGAGAGCTGCTTCTGACGCTGGTGTTGTGCTTCCGCAGGGCCGTGACGGGCATCGCCGTGACCCTCGGTGGAGATGCCATCTTCTCCACTTCTCAAGGTCAGGAACCCCTCCGTTAATCAGCGAAAGGAACTGCAATATAATGTTAGCACAATGCTAACACTTTGCTCATGTTTATAGAATAAATTAGCACATTGTTAGCATGTTTTAACATCATATAGCACATTGCTAGCATGATTAAATCATTGTTAACATGCTTCCAGCACAAATTAGCACATTGCTTGCATGTTTTAGCATGTTGCTTGCATAAATTAGCACATCGTTAGCATGTTATTAACATGATTTAGCACATTGTTATCGATTCTAGCATGACTTTGCACATTGTTAACGTGTTTTAGCAACGAATTAGCATACTGCTAACATATTACTAGTATGGATTAACACATTTGTAGCATGATGTAGCATATTGCTAACATGATTTCAGCGTTGTGAGCCTTAATTAGCACATTGTTAGCATGTTTCAGTATTTTAACATGTTTTAGCACATCGTTAGCATGTTATTAACATGATTTAACGCATTGTTATCGATTTTAGTATGACTTTGCACAATGTTAATGTGTTTTAACGATTAATTAGCATATTGCTAACGTATTGCTAGTATGGATTAACACATTTGTAGCATGATGTAGCCTATTGCTAACATGATTTCAGCGTTTTGAGCATTAATTAACACATTGTTGGCATGTTTCAGCATTTTAACATGTTTTAGCACATCGTTAGCATGTTATTAACATGATTTAACGCATTGTTATCGATTTTAGTATGACTTTGCACAATGTTAATGTGTTTTAACGATTAATTAGCATATTGCTAACGTATTGCTAGTATGGATTAACACATTTGTAGCATGATGTAGCATATTGCTAACATGATTTCAGCGTTGTGAGAATTAATTAGCACGTTGTTAGCATGGTTCAACATATTAGCATGTTTCTAGCATGACTTTGCACATTGTTAACAGGTATTAGCAATAAATTAGCACATTGCTAATATGTCTACCATGGATTAACCCATATTTTATCCTCATGTAGATTCCACACTAAAGATGTTCTCCAAAGAGAACGGCCTGCAGAGAAGCGTGTCCTTCTCCAACATGGTAAGCTCTTTAGCGCAGACGCTGTGGCCTCAAAAACTATTTGGATTCATAAGCTAGCTACACTTAAAAATGAATCTTGTCAATTATACGTTTTTCCCCAATTATACGTCGTTTTCAACTACAGTTTTTGTACAGCTTTTTGAAGATGCTAGTAAATTCGAAACGCTGTTCTACGTGTTAAAACGGATGTATTCGTAAATTACACGTTTAGTCACGTGACGCGTATTGAACATATATATCTATGGTTGTATTGGAATTGTTGTGACTGATATCCACTTTCGTAGTGTCGGTAAAGTTATATCATATTTTGTGAAATTAATATTAATATTTACGTTTTTTAAAAGTGGGCGGGAACTAATGCACATTATTATTAGGCTGCTGTCACTTTAAGACTGAGATGTGAACCATCTAGAACCAGGTGAACCATCTAGAACAAGTTCGAAAAGTTGGCGTTATGGAGCCCTTATGGATCAGAAGTGATTATCACGAATGTAAGTGCAACTTTGGACAGTTGGTGGCGCTAGAGGGAATGAGTTAGAGACTCCAAACCTGCTGTGGTTATGCATGGATCCAATATAGCCAACTTTTCCCCCAAACGTTTATGTTCTCTTAAAGCGGTCCTTGATTATGATTCGCTTTTCTAGCGTGTAACGTTGCTGTTTGATCATAAACAACATCTGCAAAGTTACGACTCTTAAATTTCAAAGCAAATGGAGAGATTTACTTTTGCAGAAATCACTTTTTTAGGACTACAACAAACGGCTGGTGGAACTACACAAGCTTCTTCACATGTTAGTGACATCACAGACACAAACCTTAAAATTTACATAAACTCCGCCTCCGGGAACACGCAACAAAGGGGGCGGGGCTGCTTTAGAGAAGAGGAAGTGTTGTTATCGCTGTTTTTTACACCCCAGAAAAGTTTTCCTTAGGCTGATGAACTGAGAGCGGTTCAGATGTATTTTAAACGCTGTTCCTGAACAATATAACCTCTTTTACTTATTTTACGGAGAACAGCTTCCAGAAGAGAAAACATGAAACATATTCTAGTACAAGACTTCGTAAAAGGCCATAATAGGCCCCCTTAAGACATATTCATTGCCTTTATGAGAATACTTTTACATTTAAGTGTGGCGAATGTGTTTTGGAGGCCACTTTACACACACGCTGAAGAGCTCTAACTACAACACACTCTTGAAATGTGCCTTAGGCGCTGTCCTCCTGCCTGATGCTGCCTGATGACGAGATCGTCGTGTGCTCGTCCTGGGACAATAATGTGTAAGATTATACAGTCACCACAAGCACATCCCTGTAGTTCTTAAGTCAGTTTAACCCATTTCTCATGTTTTTCAGCTATTTTTACTCGATAGCGTATGGAAGAAAGCAGGAGACTCTGATGGGTCATGATGATGCAGTTAGTCATATTTGCTGGAGGGACGACAAACTTTACACGGCATCCTGGGACTCGACTGTGAAGGTCTTCGCATTTCGTTTTGCTTTTTTGCGTAACATTTAAGGATGACTAAACCTGTTTACACGCTACTAAATGTTTATAAAGCGTCTGCTAAATCAATAAATGTAAATTTCAGGAACATCTTCAGAAAAAATTCAGTTGCTTATTCGGTAACACTTTACTTAAACCTTATATAATGTATTATAAAAGTATTTTTAATGCATTGATTATGCCTTGTGATGCACCTTATAATGCATTTTTGTGGTCTTATGAATAATTGTAACCACAGTTATAAATCATTATAGGGATGCACCGATATGCAAAATTTTGGCCGATACCGATAACCGATAATTCTGTATATTTGAAAGCCAATAACCGATATATTGGCCGATAAATCTAAATCCACATTTTTAGACAATTTTTGAGAGCCTGATATGACAATTTTGGCCGATACCGATAACCGATAATTCTTTATATCTGAAAGCCGATAACCGATATTTTGGCCGATAAATCTAAATCAAGTTTTATAATACACAAAATTAAAATTATAAAATTACAAAATTATAATACACATGCATGTGTATATATATATTTAAGAAAAATGTGTTATATTTATATATAATATAATATGTATAAATATATATTTACAGTATATGCAAATATTTATTAAACATATACATGTATATATGTGACCCTGGACTACAAAACGAGTCACATGGGTCAATTTTATGAAATTGAGATTTACACATCATCCGAAAGCTGAATAAATACGCTTCCCATTGATGTGTGGTTTGTGAGGATAGGACAATCTGGAATCTGAGGGTGCAAAAAAACATCGAAACATTGAGAAAATCTCCTTTACAGCATTTATGTTCGGGATTTTGCTGCATTCACTCACAAAAATACATGTTTTATATATTAATGGTTGGAAATTTATAAAATATCTTGATGGAACATGATCACATGATGATTTTTGACGTAAACAAAAGGTTTGCCTTTGCCACAAATATGACATGACTGGTTTTGTGGTCCAGGGTCACATATATACAACATAATTATACACACATATATTATATAAACACAAACTTTATTTTGGAGGCGATTAATCGTTGCCCAGCACTAATTATTGCATTTTAACGTGATATGATGTAATGCATCATATCACGTTAGTAAAACGTTACCACATATTCCTGCTGATGAACTTTACTTGTCATGTGGTCATAATAACTTGTTGACGGTCCTGGTTCTCTGTGTGTCCCCCAGATCTGGAAGTGTGTAGCGGCCGACGTGTCCAGGAACAAGCGCACCGGGTTCGATCCGCTCGCTGAGTTTGAGCACGAGGCCGGGGTTTGTGCTGACGAGTCTTAAACACTGCAATACACACTCAGCTCTTGAACAACTCGCTTTCAGAATAACTAACAGCAGCGATTAGATAGAGACTCATTAGTTAACATGAGCTAAGAATGAACAATACTTCAGCATTTATTCATCTAAGTTTGTTAACATTAGTTACTGTGAACTAGCATGTTTTTTATTAGCTAACATTAACAAAGATTAGTAAATACTGTAATAAATGTATCACTCATTGCTAGTTCATGTTAGTTAATACATTAACTAATGTTAACTAATGAAGTTGATTGTGAAGTGTTAGGTTAGTCTCTAAACCCTGTTATTTACACCACAAGGTTTTATTGAATCCTTTAATAATTGAAAGCCGATAACCGATAATTCTTTATATCTGAAACCCAATAACCAATAATTCTTTATATTTGAATGCCGATAACCGATAATTCTTTATATCCGAAAGCCGATAACCAATAATTATTTATATTTGAATGCCGATAACCGATAATTCTTTATATCTGAAAGCCGATAACCAATAATTATTTATATTTGAAAGCCGATAACCGATAATTCTTTATATCTGAAAGCCGATAACCGATAATTCTTTATATCTGAAAGCCGATAACCAATAATTATTTATATTTGACAGCCGATAACCAATAATTATTTATATTTGAAAGCCGATAACCGATAATTCTTTATATCTGAAAGCCGATAACCAATAATTATTTATATTTGAAAGCCGATAACCGATAATTCTTTATATCTGAAAGCCAATAACCAATAATTCTTTATATTTGAATGCCGATAACCGATAATTCTTTATATCCGAAAGCCGATAACCAATAATTATTTATATTTGAATGCCGATAACCGATAATTCTTTATATCTGAAAGCCGATAACCAATAATTATTTATATTTGAAAGCCGATAACCGATAATTCTTTATATCTGAAAGCCGATAACCGATAATTATTTATATTTGAAAGCCGATAACCAATAATTATTTATATTTGACAGCCGATAACCGATAATTCTTTATACCTGAAAGCCGATAACCAATAATTATTTATATTTGGCAGCCGATAACCGATAATTCTTTATATCTGAAAGCCGATAACCGATAATTCTTTATATCTGAAAGCCGATAACCAATAATTATTTATATTTGAAAGCCGATAACTGATAATTCTTTATATCTGAAAGCCGATAACCGATAATTCTTTATATCTGAAAGCCGATAACCAATAATTATTTATATTTGAAAGCCGATAACCGATAATTCTTTATACCTGAAAGCCGATAACCGATAATTATCTGGTGTGCGCAGGTCAACTGTCTAGACCTCAGCCCTGCGGGAACACTGATGGCGACGGGCACTAAAGAGGGAACGCTCACTGTGTGGGACATGACCAGTACTGTGCCTCTCAACCAGCTCAGCTGCCATACTGGGAGGATCCACCAGCTGGCCTTCAGTCCAGGTGTGTGTGTGTGTCTGAGTGAGTGATTGTGTTTGTGTCTTTTGTGGTTTCACACACTGTGTTGTGTGCAGTGTTGGGTGTAACTAATTACTAAGTAATTAGTTACTGTAATTTAATTACTTTTCCCTTGAAAATGTAAAGTAAGGGATTACTCTTCATTTATCTGTAATTTAATTACAGTTACTTCTGATGTAATGGAGGTAAATACTGTGTATAGATCAATCCAATCTCAGCGATTCGTGTGCATTTTATGAGGTGTCTAAATATTACGACCGCACTCGTACAAATTCATACGAATTATTGTAAAATATGTATGAAAAAAGTGTGAAATGTCATGAGATCAGACATAAAACAATAGTGGGTTTAACATCAAAATGTATCGTCTGATGCTAAAAAGTATGTTTTTATAATGTAACCTTCTCCACTTTGGTCAGTTTAAGGATAATTCATGCAATTTTATAGTATTTATTTGAAAGAATTAAAACAGATTCAAGTCTATCCTTGTATTATTCAGCTGGTTGAGATTGATATGGGATTTTGAAAGTAATTAAAAGTAATTAAATACTTTTTAGAGAGAGTAATTAGTACAGTAATCTAATTACATTGTTGAAGAGGTAATTAGTAACTAGTAATTAATTACTTTTTTAGAGTAACTTACCCAACACTGGTTGTGTGTGTGTTCAGACAGCAGGCATATCTTGAGTGTCGGCGAGGACTCGTGTTTGGCGGTGACGGATGTGCAGACTGGAATGCTCATCGCTACTGTACACGCCGAGCAGGAGCAGAGGTGACCAGAACACACACTAGAGCTGTGTCCCATACACACACATGTATATTCAAATACACACACGCCACAAAAAGTCTCCGTGTCTCGGGTCGAGGAGTTGTGTAACGTGTGTTGCTCCTGTAGGTGCTTCTGCTGGGATGGAAACACTGTGTTGTCTGGAGGGACGACAGGAGATCTCAGTGTGTGGAACCTCCTCAGCAGTAAAGTCATCCACACGATCCCTGCTGCTCACTCAGGTACACACACACACACACATTCTAGAGTGAAGCGCTCTGTGTAGGGAACGTTCTAGAGTGCATTGCTTGGTGTAGTGAACATGTGTAGTGATGACGCCTGTGTAGGGAACATGTGTAGTGATGACGCCTGTGTAGGGAACATGTGTAGTGATGACGCCTGTGTAGGGAACATGTGTAGTGATGACGCCTGTGTAGTGAACATGTGTAGTGATGACGCCTGTGTAGTGAACATGTGTAGTGATGACGCCTGTGTAGGGAACATGTGTAGTGATGACGCCTGTGTAGGGAACATGTGTAGTGATGACGCCTGTGTAGTGAACATGTGTAGTGATGACGCCTGTGTAGGGAACATGTGTAGTGATGACGCCTGTGTAGTGATTACGCCTGTGTAGTGTACATGTGTAGTGATGACGCCTGTGTAGGGAACATGTGTAGTGATGACGCCTGTGTAGGGAACATGTGTAGTGATGACGCCTGTGTAGTGAACATGTGTAGTGATGACGCCTGTGTAGGGAACATGTGTAGTGATGACGCCTGTGTAGGGAACATGTGTAGTGATTACGCCTGTGTAGTGTACATGTGTAGTGATGACGCCTGTGTAGTGAACATGTGTAGTGATGACGCCTGTGTAGGGAACATGTGTAGTGATGACGCCTGTGTAGGGAACATGTGTAGTGATGACTCCTGTGTAGGGAATATGTGTAGTGATGACGCCTGTGTAGGGAACATGTGTAGTGATGACGCCTGTGTAGGGAACATGTGTAGTGATGACGCCTGTGTAGGGAACATGTGTAGTGATGACGCCTGTGTAGTGAACATGTGTAGTGATGACGCCTGTGTAGGGAACATGTGTAGTGATGACGCCTGTGTAGGGAACATGTGTAGTTATGACGCCTGTGTAGGGAACACGTGTAGTGATGACGCCTGTGTAGGGAATATGTGTAGTGATGACGCCTGTGTAGGGAACATGTGTAGTGATGACGCCTGTGTAGTGAACATGTGTAGTGATGACGCCTGTGTAGGGAACATGTGTAGTGATGACGCCTGTGTAGGGAACATGTGTAGTGATGACGCCTGTGTAGGGACACATGTGTAGTGATGACGCCTGTGTAGTGTACATGTGTAGTGATGACACCTGTGTAGGGAACATGTGTAGTGATGACGCCTGTGTAGGGAATATGTGTAGTGATGCCTGTGTAGTGTAAATGTGTAGTGATGATGCCTGTGTAGTGTACATGTGTAGTGATGACGCCTGTGTAGGGAACATGTGTAGTGATGACGCCTGTGTAGGGAACATGTGTAGTGATGACGCCTGTGTAGGGAACATGTGTAGTGATGACACCTGTGTAGTGTACATGTGTAGTGATGACACCTGTGTAGGGAACATGTAGTGATGACGCCTGTGTAGTGAACATGTGTAGTGATGACGTGACCCCTAACCCCGCTGTGCTCCCTCAGGTGCGGTGACGTGTGTGTGGATGAACGATCAGTGCAGCTCCATCATCACTGGAGGACTGGATAAACAGATCAGTCTGTGGAAACACCAGTATTAACACACACACACACACACACACACACACACACTCAAGTGGACATTATTCAGGATCCGGGGTGTTTTTGGTCATAGTTCTCTGAGACTTGAACAGATACAGTAGCAGTTTTAAATCCGCTGCAACACTTTTACATTATTATTTAGCATTTTTATTGTGTTTTAGAACTGAAGAACATTAATCATAATTGATGTTTACATTAAATTATATATTTGGCTCCTTTTATTATATAACACGTGTATAACATCTGTCCTGTTTCCACTTCAACATGCATAAAAACAGCAACAATTCATATAATTTAGTAAAGACAATCAATCAGCTATTATTGGTTTTTTTTTTAAATAATAATAATTACCAAATCATCAATATTATAAATCGGAACATTTCCTAGTCAGCTATAATAATAAAGGTGTCAAGACTTGATCCCAGAAGATGAATTATGAAGTATTAAGCAGATATTATATATGGAATATGTTTAATGTTCTGCAGTTTTTGAGCCAAACGCATTTTTTAATGTGCCTTAGTTTTTAATCATAAAAAACCTCTCTTTAATTATGCTCGCATGTTCAGCTAAAATATATGCATACTAATTATTACACTAGTTATGTATGATGATATATTTAAGTGAGGGTTTGAGTAAAACCTTCTGTAATATACGGTAATAAAATATAGTGTTACATCTTGACGGGTTATGGATGCATCTGTATATATTGTATGCGAACTGTATATTTCATACACTGTTATTTATGTCATGATAATATTCGTTTGAGAAATGCTCTTCAGTGAAGAACATTAGTGTGTGAGTTGAGTTGAAATCACAGGATTATGCAATGAGCACACGAGTTATGAAGAGACGGTTACGACTGTCCTGTAACCATCAGAAATTGCATTTTCGAGATATGTTGAGTGTGTGGACTGCATGTTTTACTATATCATGTTTATGGGTTTTTGTTCATTTCTTCTCAACTGTGTGTTTTTTAACTGCTGGAAATTAAACGACTTTAAAAATGTTTTTTTTGTTTCTCTGTTTTTAATTCTTTTAAAGCTTTTCTAATTTGTTTTCTGTATTAAATACTGACAATTACGCAAAACTAGAGAAAAAAATGGCCCTTATTCTGATCGCATAATAAAGCTTTTATAGTGATACTGACAATTATAACATAAGTAATTATTATTACAAACATATGCGATTTTATTGACCATGTTAATGTTTAATCCTCATAGAAATCATCAATTCAGTGTGTTATTGATATTGTGTAACAGAACGCCTGAACCACGCCTGAATTCATCTTTAATGTTAAGGTTTTGCGTTTTCTCTGACATGTTTAGTTTGTGTGATGGTTTAAACTGTTGAAAAAGTCTAAGTTATTATCATTTTTCTGGGGAATTGTTAACCAAAGTAAAGTTTCATTACATTTTTGTAATAGCTGTAAACAAACGAACACAATAAAATGACTATAAAGCGGTCATGGCATTTTTTTTAAAAATTTTGTTATGTCCCTTTTGGTTCACTTTGAAAAAAAAAACATGTAGAAAAATAATTATTTTTATTTTTTATTTATATCTAAATATTTGTAGTGAAAGGTAAAACTTCTGAAATAATAATAAAATCCGTGTAAACAATGAGTGACATTGTAGACGCGCGAGAGATCACTTCCGGCGTAATGTTGGACATGGTTCCGGACATCTGATTCAGCTCAGTTCGACGGCTGTTGACAAGAGGTAAAACTATATAAATACTTTTCGTTTTCTCACACAAACCGCTCGTTTCGTGTCTTAGGCCATCAATGTGTACTTACATTTACGAGTCATTAAATCATGTTTAATCTGGACTTCTCTCTTTGAGGTGGTGACAACAGACCGCCATTATATGACTGACAGACAACAACGGTTTGACCGGAAAATGTCAAAATTGAAAATACTGTGGAAACAAAGACACCTACAACTTGAATGGATGCCCTTGAGGTAAGATAAAACATATAAAAATTAATTTCAAAGTGAACTATCCCTTTAAAACCCGCGGGCAGGGAAAGGATTAAACGCGGGAATTGAATGCGACTGCTATCCGTCCAATGTGAGGGCAAATATCTCCCACCAAAGTCACGCTGTGTGTGTGTGTGTGTGTGTGTGTGTGTGTGTGTGTTGCGTCAGTCAGGGCATGTGCGCGCGCTGTCAGTCCGAGACAAAACTGTTGTAGCGACGCACGCGCTCAATAACACACCAAAAGCGGTCAGTGTAACAGTTCCTGTGGGTCATACACAGATGGAGTGTGTGTGTGTGTGTGTGTGTGTTGAGAGTGATCACACACTGAAGACATGAGAGCAGCAGAAGAGCCTGAAGATCCTCCGAGAAGACCAGAGAGGAACATGTCGTCACCGGCAGCCTCAGAGAGCGCGTGTCCGAAAACACAGGTACAGCACGAGCACGCGCGCGCACTGACTTTACTAACGCGCGCTAATATCTTTATGACGGTGAAAGTCAGCTTGTAAAGCCAACAAATGTATAATTTAATTATTTATTTTATCAACCCCCGCTAATAATACTCCCCTGTCCTGGGATGGTTATGGTAAAACTGAAGTCTGTTTGTTCCCATTACATATTTCCTCAAAATCTCAGTTTAACTCTATTAAATTCAATGATTTTAATGAGTTATAATATATATATAAACTTTAATGGTGTTCTAGGGTTCTTGAATCAATTTTAAAGAATGCTAAATGCCCTTTCACGCTGATGTTATTTTGTGTTTGTGTCTCTTTAGTAGTAAGTTAATTAATCTCAGAATTTAGGAAATATCTATTGATGTTGCTGACTCAGATGTTGTGTACTTCATCAAAAGTACAAGTTTTGTGTACTTTGAAGGGTTAAATCTGCTGATCTGTGAGTCATGTGGGTTTCAGCAGGTGATGATTCAGGAGCACACACACACACACACACACACACTATGGCACGAATGTTAATTTTTATTTCCCCATAGCTCAGTTTAATGTACTGAGGATGTTTTGGGATATTACAGTAAATATGATTTTTGTGTGTCTGCATCAGTGCGCTTACCCACACCGCCCGGTCGAGGCACTATTACTCGATTACTCGATAAAAGATGAATCCTGACTGATCCTGAATGACAGCGACTCGACAGATCTGTGATCCGCAGAGAGTCGTTCATGTAAAGATATTGTGTATCGATACAGTAAAATAGAGTAAATCACACTTAAGAAACTTGGCACTTCAAATGAAGATTGTGTCATTGCATCGTTACACCAGTAGGTGGAGACACACGACTGTTAAAATATGTGCTTGTCACTATGTCACGTTTTTATCCGAATTATATTATATCGAATGAAAAATGCTTTATGGAAACAGTCAAATTCGATTTAAATTCATCTAATTTTATCTTGATCGATATACGGCTTATGAAACGTTATTTGCCGAATAAATAATGAATTGTGATTAAGTTTAAGGTCCTTTTATGGTTGCGACACGCCACGAACCTTTGGTTTCTTCTTCATGCAGAGTTTAAGCTGCACTTTTACCATACAATGATAGTGAATTATGACCGGGTCCAAACATATATGTTATGATATGAAGAGTTCAGATGCAAAAGCCTCTAAATGCCATTTGAAATTTTCTTCTAAAATGATCATTTTTATCAAGCTTGTATTTTTAAGTTCAGTAATTTCACTTAAATGACAATTAATAGGTAATCTTCATTGCCATTTAAGTGAAATTACTGAACTTAAATATACAAGCTTGATAAAAATCATCATTTTAGAAGAACATTTCAAATGGCATTTAGAGGCTTTTGCATCTGAACTCTTCATATGTACTGTAATGATTATTTTTGTATTACTTTTGTACTTGTTTTATTGTTTGTAGCGCTTTGGGTTTTAAAATATATTAGCTGAATAATTATCAGTATAAGTATACTGTTAGTTATTATATCAGCAACATAGTGTCGGCCCAGATCCGGCCCACATGGATTCCACACGACCCGAATCTGGCTCAGATCTCTATATTGCTGTCTGGTATACGTTTTTTAGCAAATTTTTTAGTTTAAATCAATATTTAAAAAGAAGTAAGTTTGTAAGGCAATGTAAACTCTGTAGAGAAGTATATTTGATTGATCTGTCGTCGTTTGGGCTTTATTCAGGAGTCACCTTGTTAATCAGGAATATCTCAAATTGTTCACAGCCCACATATGAAGTTCACAGAGCGGCTGCGTTTGTTTCCTTCGACGCGGGCATTCATGAGCAGTGCAGTACAGTGTGTGTGTGTGTGTGTGTGTGTGTGAATGGCTCCTTGTTGGTTCCTTCTGGAACAAAGGCTCAGCCTTGTCTCCTTCGGCTCTTGTGTTCGTCAGGATTCCTTCCCTCTGACTAACTTACAGTTACACAACGGGACGAATGACTCTGGACACACACTTCATCAAACCCATTCACTGTTTCTGACAGGAACTGATGACACTGACTTTCTCAGATTCATTCAAGTGTTTTCCATCTAGTTTTCGTTCATCATTCAGCTGGAAAAGTTCTGAACGATATTACTGTAGATACACAACCATATTGTGTAGACATCTTTTTTGTGTTGTTGTCAAAACGTTAACCTCTCTCTTAACTTTATGGCACGATTATTTCTAAGTATATCTTCTGTACGGCACACTTTCGTAAGGTCGGTGTGGACCGTTCGTTAGCTCTCTCTCTTAGCGTTGTTTGAGCTCAGGACGCTAGTCGCTAGTCTTTAGAAATCAGTCAGGCAAACTATGGTGTGTTGACAATGTTGTGGCTCAACAATGATTTTATGTTATGGACATGTTTAAGACAGGAGACAGGTCACACTCACACAACTACACCGTCATCCTCAACATTCATTATAATAACTTCATTCATATGTTGGAGAGACTATCAGTGCTACAGTTTAGATGCAATGTCTTCTTATGGGAAAGAAAGAAAGAAAGAAAGAAAGAAAGAAAGAAAGAAAGAAAGAAATGAAAAAAGAAAGAAAGAAAGAAAGAAAGAAAGAAAGAAAGAAGAAAGGAAAAAGAAAGAAAGAGAGAAATAAATAAAGAAAGAAAGAAAGAAAGAAAGAAAAAAGAAAGAAAGAAGAAAGAGAGAAAGAAAGAAAGAGAAAGAAGAAAGAAAGAAAGAAAGAAAGAAAGAAAGAAAGAAAGAAAAAGAAATAAAGATAGAAAAGAAAGAAAGAAAGAAAGTAAGAAAAAAAGAAAGAAAGAAAAAGAAAGAAAGAGAGAAAGGAAAAGAAAGAAAGAAAGAAAGAAAAGAAAGAAAGAAAAAAGAAATAAAGATAGAAAAAAGAAAGATAGAAAGAAAGAAAGTAAAAAAGAAAAAAAGAAAGTAAGAAAGAAAAAAGAAAGAGAGAAAGAAATAAAGAAAGAAAAAAGAAAGAAAGAAAGAGAGAAGGAAAAATGAAGAAAGAAAGAGAGAAAGGAAAAAGAAAGAAAGAAAGAAAAAGAAAGAAAAAAGAAGAAAGAAACAAAGAAACAAAGAAAAAAGAAAGAAAGAAAGGAAGAAAGAAAAAAGAAAGTAAGAAAGAAAAAAAGAAAGTAAGAAAGAAAAAAAGAAAGAAAGAGAAAAGAAAGAAAGAAAGAAAGAAAGAAAGAAAGAAAGAAAAAATAAATAAAAAAGGAAAAAAGAAAGACAGAAAAAAGAAAGAAAGAAAGAGAGAAAGAAAGAAAATAAATAAATGAAAAATATTGTTATAATGCTTTTAGTGTGAAGAGAAAGCAGTGCTGCCCTCTTGTGGATCATTACTACTCTCTCTCTCTCTCACACACACACACACACACTGACCTTGTTCATGAAATATTGAGTTTATTAGTCTGTTGTTTAGAGTAAATTATACAGCTGTGCCTGTTTGGACAAAACGACTACATTTATTAATGTCACACACACACACACACACACGAACACACTCTATCTCTCACACACACATCACTTTTAATCATGAGATAAACCCTTCCGCCTATCATCTCCTCCTGATATAAACACACAGTCAGACTCC